AGACCAGCCTGAACAGCATAGCAAGACTCCATCTCTACAAAAAATACAAAATAATGTAGCCATGTGTGGTGTTGTGTGCCTGTAGATCTAGCTACTCAGGAAGCTGAGGCAAGAGGATCAGTTGAGCCCAGGAGTTTGAGGTTGCAGCAAGCTTTGATGATGCCACTATAGTCTAGCCCAGGCAACAGAGCAAGACCCTGTCTCAAAAAAAAAAAAATATTAGCTGGGTGCAGTAGTGTGCATGCTCGTAGTCCCAGCTGCTTGAGAGGCTGAGACAGGAGGATTGCTTGAGCTCAGGAGTTGGAGGCTGCAGTGAGCTATCATTGTTCACTGTACTCCAGCCTGAGCGACAGAGTGAGATTCCATCTCTTAAAAAAAAAAAAAAAGATACTGGGAAGGCATATTTAAAGTGTACTTACATGTAATAATTTTTAAAAGCTTCCCCGCCCCTCATGTTTTTATAGCATTTTCTACCTACCTCCTATTGGTTTATGAGAAAAATCTCCCTAAATTCAAGATTCTCCACATCTTTTCTGTTTAGTTCTCTTTAAGTGTAATTACTCAGTGTTCTTTAAGTCAAGAGCTGCCTCTTAAGAATGCAAACAGGATTTTTTTTTATAAAAAGGTCAGCACTTACGAGAAAAAAAATGGGTTCCTTTCAGATATGACTCTGCCCCTTATTACTCCTTCACTCATTCATTTACCTCAGGAAATGAGAGCAAAGGGATAAAGTGGTACAGATTGATACAAAAGTTTGCATCTAACAAGTTATTTTGGTGTTTATAGAAGTGGAGCCATTTACAGACTCGCACACCCTAGATAATTATACTTCTGGAGATCCCAGGCCACATCATATCAACCTTACTAAAACATACCAACTTCATTAAACATTTTTTTTGCTATGTAAGAAATTGAAAAGATTGTTACGATTTTGCCTTTGAAATTATTTGAGTATAATTTCTTAATCATGATAAATAATCCTAGGGAAATGACACTAACATACAGCTTGTTTTAAAATAATAATAGGCTATGTTTAATAGTGACTGAAGTTTTGTAATTTTGTTGCATTTCATGGACAATTTATAAAGTTGTAAAAGTTTTATTTTCATAATTTGAAGCCACGCATTTCTTTCTAAATTTTAAATATCAAACTTTTAAAAAGGCCCGTAAAAAGCTTGTGCCTCAAGATAAAATGGCCCTGTGGAAGGGCTGGGACGGGCCCAGTTGGCTAGTAGCAAAGGTGCTGGATTTTGTGGGTGGGTGATGGTTATTCAAGTCTGTTTGGCTTTTTCCATCATAGGTTAGCACTAGGAGAATGGTTTTAGGGAAAGCCTGACTTTTGGAATGAAGCAGCTCTAATTGGTATTTAGTATTATAGTATAGTGGAACAAGCAGTTCTGAAACTCTTTGGTCTCAGGACCTCTATTTTACACTGTTAAATTAATGAGCCCTCCCCTCTCCAGAGGGATTGTTTATATGGGGTTTGTCTGTGTTTATCATATTAGAAATTAAAACTGAGAAATCTGAAAAATGCTCATAAATTCATTTAAAAATATTTAAAAAATAATAAAGCAATTACATGGTAACATAACATTTCTGATGAAAAATAACTTTTTCCTTATCCGAAGATAATTAATATAAAGAGTGGCATTGTTTAACATTTTTACATATCTCTTTAATTCTTGGCTTAATAGATGACAGAGAATTCTCTTACCTACTTCTGCATCCAATCTGTTACAGTGTTTTGTTTGAAATATGTAAAGAAAATGCAGCCTCACACAGATATATAGTTAGAAAAGGGAAGAATATTTTGTTTTCCCAGGTAGTTGTTTATATTTTCTTTAATACTACACCAAAATTTGATAAGTGGTAATTCCTTTAAGGTTAGTTGCAGTGTGGAATCTGAAACCATATCAGTGAACTTTTTGTATTGTTACATTAAAGCCATTATTAGTCTTTCTTATAGTTTAAATGGATGTTTTATCCATGCATGATTTTGTAACATCATGCATTGGTTATTAGGAAAATAATGGGTTCATTGAATAATGTAGATCTTCCAAATGTTGACATAGTTCATTTTATAGTATTTTTTTTAAAGCAACATTTAGTAATATCACTACCACTTTTATGATAAAAATACTAAGTATTGGGCAACTGTCAAGTTCATGGTGGGAGATTACTGGTTTTCCATGATGTAATTTTTGCATAAAAGCCTTATCATTGGCAGCTAATACTGTCATTTGGAGAAAAGATCTGCTAAATGCCATAGTTTGTCCATCAGTTCTTCCAGTTAGAAATGGTATTGAATGAAAGTGGCTACTTCAGCTTGTCATTGACACAAGTGCTCTCTACCTTGAGACACCTATGTGTGTTGCACAAGTGCTTCACCTTGAGACACCTATAACGCTTCAGTATGAAGCAGAGGTGTTTTACTTATGTTTCCTATATACAAAGGGTCATTGTTAGTGAAATTGATGCCACTGCCTAGATTGTGCTGAGGTGCCGACAGTTTTATGCACCAATTCTTTTTGCACTAATTAGTACAAACGTCAACACGGTAAGAAAAAGCAGATGATGCCTTAATATTATTATGAAGGTGGTTTTGACCTCCCAGAGCCCCTGTGAAGTCAGATTCTGTTGACTTCATTTTGAGAACCACCCTAGTAGACTATTGCCATTTTATGATTATATTTGCTGTTAGGTAAAACCATAAGTGTTGTTTATAGATAGGGTTTTTTCCCTCTGTTTGGCGAGGATTTACAAAATTATTGGAATTGTGATAAATCGAATATGCAGAAATGACCAGTAACTAACTAGTGGGTATAATTCTTGGTGCTGTCAGTCGAATGTGATGTGACTTTTGCTCTTTCAAAAATTGCTGTGTAAACAGATGCCATTATCATTTATAGTCAGGCCTTCTAATAGATGGCATTTCTCTTGTGTATTCCTATATCATAAAAATTCATAATGTAAACAATTACTTTTTTGTACAAATCATAATTCAAGTGCCATGTAGATGAGAATTTATTGCTGCTGCTTTTGAAATTGCCTTAGTAGAGATAGGTCTGCTTTATAATATAAGGCAGAGTAAATGAGGAATAGTGGTTCTACTTGAGACATTTGGTTCTTAAGCTTACTTTTTCTTGAAAATCTTTCTAATTTTTTAAGGCTTTCTGCTATGGAAATTTCACATGTAATTAAAATAGACATAATGGTCTAGATGGTGAACTCCCAGTTTCATCAATTATCAATTCGTGGACAGTCCTGTTTCATTTATACTCCATTCACTTCTTCCTTAACAACCCTCCCCCGATTATTTTGAAGCAAATTCCAGACATCACATTTTATTCTTAAATAATTCAGTATATATTTCTCAAAAATAGGAATTTGAGAGAGAAAAAAAGCACTATATCTTAGTTTCTCTTGAAAGTAATGTACTAACAACCTATTAGTGTCTAATAGAAATGTTCTAACCTCTGACACTTTCTGTTATCAATGTGTTCTCAGGCTACAGTCACCTAATATATTGGATGGAACACTATTTGGGATGAATATTTTTTCCTTGAGCTTTTCTGCCTGTTCACTTTGCTCTTTGGACTCTCATTATGATTATGCTAGTAGACATGGCAGAAGAACCAAACATAGATGACTGGAAGCTTTGAAATTATTTTAAGGTTTTGGACTTTTCCAGGATGAAGAGACTCGGCACAGCCTTGAGTGCATCCAGGCCAATCAGATCTTTCCCAGGAAGCAGCTGATCCGGGAGGATGAGAATCTTCAGGTAATTACAGGCCACTTTTTTTTTTTTTTTTGGAGACAGAGTCTCACTGTGTTGCCTGGGCTAGAGTGCCGTGGCATCATCCTAGCTCACAGCAACCTCAAACTCCTGGGCTCAAGCAATCCTTCTGCCTCAGTAGCTGGGACTACAGGCATGTGCCACCATGCCCGGCTAATTTTTTTCTATGTATTTTTAGTTGTCCAATTAATTTCTTTCTATTTTTAGTAGAGACGGGGTCTCGCTCTTGCTCAGGCTGGTTTCGAACTCCTGAGCTCAAACAATCTGCCCGCCTCGGCCTCCCAGAGAGCTAGGATTACAGGCATGAGCCACCGTGCCCGGCCTACAGGCCACTTTTGACTGTAAAATATTTAGCATGATAGTAACTATGTAGTGAAGCTAATGGATTGAAGTAATGCACTTATGTAATATGTTTTCCTAAACCATACATATAGTAGAAATGCAAGCTGGAAAACAGTTCTCATTTTAGCAAGATTTATTTCCTGAGAATTCACTGTTTAAGATGATCTTCTCTGTGTCATTCCTTTAGTAGTCTAGAATTTGAATGACTAGGTAGGTATATTTGAATTAGGTGGGTATAAAGCTATCTTCTTTAGGTTCCTTCCTACTTACGTACTGTATTTTCAACTTGGGTGGCAGAGGATTTACTATTCATTCACCTGACCCATGTTTGAAGACTTTGATTTACTGCTTCAGAACTTTGAAGGGTTTCTTCTTCCATTTTGAAGGTCCCTTTCCTTGAACTTCATGGAGAGAGCACAGAGTATGTGGGCCGTGCTGAGGATGCCATCATTGCCCTTTCCAATTATAGACTTCACATCAAGTTCAAGGAGTCTCTTGTTAATGTAAGTGATTACCAACTGTTTTCCTTCCAAGGTAGATGGAGAAAGGAAGTAAAAAAAAAAAACTTGTTAACGTTCTTGAAGAAAGGAGAGTCATACAGAGTTAGGTGTGAAAGCATTGTGTGGTCTGCTTTTCTCTTAAATTGGCACTGAAGGGACACTAGGTTAGCTAGCAACTCTTATGCCTGATTTTAAAAGATGCATGTAGTTGTCAGCTGAGGTGTCCATTGTTGAGTTAACATTGAATGATTTGCACTAGATGCTATATCATTATGCTTTATAAAGATATAAAAAGGCTGAATAGGCTTTTATTGCTCAATCTTTAGCAGTTACCAGCTGCCTCCGTTGAGATAATTTCCTGGGCCTTAATGTCAGATGATGAGATGTACTTTGAGCTCACTACAGACTCATTATAGGATGAAGTTACTCTAATAGCCCCTTAGTGATATAAGTATAGATGTTAAGTACAATGTTTATTTGCATAATGGACTATATATTACTGAAGAAAAGGAAGACTCTCAATTCTCAAGAGTACATTTACCCTTTTTCAGTATGAGGGTCCTCTCAGTGAACTGGTTCTTCCAGCACACTGCTATCATTAGTAGTCTTAAATGAAACCCGCAAAGGCCTGAAAGTTCATGTACTTCCATCAAATGAATGCCTTCTTCCTCCTTTACTTGCCAGTAATGTGACTTTCTGCACTTCAGTTTTAGCATAGAGAAGTGTATTATGACACCTTATAATAGCTCATGACTATAACTCCATTCAGATCATGTTTTGGGTTTATTTTGGGATTCTTTGAAACTTGTTCATTTTACTCAGTCCAAAAGTTATTCAACTCCTCAATCATATTCTTTTTGTTTGTCAAAAGACTCAGTGGCTGTCATTTTCTTTGTAATTAGCATTTATGACTTCTTATTCTTTGTAGTTAAGAATTTATGTCCAGGGGCAATTTTGGCCTGAATTCCTTCTGGCTTCTAGCTGTGGCCATAGCTATTATTATTATGTCAATTTTCTGTCCGTAAGCTAAAAGGACACACGAGATTTATCAAGGAAAGAGACAGTGCTGTTATTTCATACTATATAGCACTCTGTTCAGAAGGGTCCATTTGGATTTGAGTGGTTGTGATCGGGAGAGGAAAGGGTAGAAACTCCTATAAAGTCCTAGCAACCAAAAAGTCCCTACCAGCTATGTAGAAGTCATGATAGTAATGATTAGTAGAACTTCCCAGTGCTAATTTTGTTCTTTCAATATTCAAATGGCTGGAATCAATGAAATTGTGATTAAATTGCATGTGAGAATGGTAGTTTCATATTATTGCATTTTCACATATCATTCCCTATTAGTTTATTAATTGATGGCCAGATATTTCAGAGATTGCTTTTAGATCTGTATGGGAATAAGGTCTGTTGGAGAGAAAGCATGGAACTGATCATCTCACCCATCAGCTTAAAGCTCTTCAGTGTTTCTTTACTACATTTATGATGAGATCAGATTACTTAGCAGGGTGTGATGTAAGGCTGTATGTGGTCTTTGGTTCCTGCCAGCTTTTCTGTCTGCTTCCCTCCTTTCCCCCTTCTCCTCTTTGTACTTGTAAAACCAGCTTCCTTGTACTATTTAGCCATATCTCACACCTCTGCATTCTCTCTTCTTTCCTGTCCAGGGAACTTCTCTTCATCTGTCAAAACTCAGTTCAGGTGATAATTTCTTCTGTAAAGCCTTTCTTAGTCTCTGTTCCCTTTCTGACAGTTAATTACACTCTCCTGACATCTTCTGTATCTTGAACATACTTTTATAATACAACATTTACCAGATTGTTTTAAGTTTTGGTTATTTGTCTTTGTATCCATCATGTCTCCTGGTGCCATGATATTCAGTAAATATTAAATGAATTGAAATTAATATGAGTTTGAAGTGGTCATTGGTCCATTCCCTCCTTTGGATTTTAAGCTCATATTTAAACAGTATATTTCTGTGTGAATAGACTGTGTGTGTGATCATTGTCTCTAAGGGTAACCATGTGAGTAGGTTGTTTACTAGAATTGTTGGTCCCCCTTGTGATGGAGATATAATGCTTGAGGAAACTTACCACTGTTCTTATTTTTGATCCAATTCCTTATCTGAAATTGTTTTCTCTGTTACTTAGCATTATAACCCTCTAAGGCTGCAATCCCCAAACCCTGGGCCACAGAGGGTACCTGTCTGTGGCCTGTCAGGAAAAGGGCCGGCCGACTCACCTCACTGCCTGAGCTCCGCCTCCCTTCCTCCCCACTCCCCATGGAAAAATTGTCTTCAATGAAACCAGTCCCTGGTGCCAAAAAGGTTAGGGACTGCTGCTCTAAGGCAGCAGTATATCACTTAAAAAGCCCAAGATGATGGCTTTTCACAGAAAGTTGATTGTGCAGAAGTATTCTGGCATTGGTAACTTTCAACATTTCAGGTTGAGAGAGACTAGAACTTCTCCATACAAATAAATTAATCTCATCACAGTTAGTGTTAAGTTTCCTGAAACCTGGGGTTACTCCAAGAAACAAGGGCCCCTCCTGTATCATGTCCTGGATAGAGAACAGGGAGTTGGTAGTGGTCATGTCACTCTCTTCTTCCTTCCTCCTTTCCTTTCCTAAGCAGATAAGTAGTTCAGTAAAATATGTGAGATCAAGAGGCCCGCTTTAAAGGTTATTACATCTAAATCAAACACACTTAAACCATCAAGGCCCAAATGTGCCAGTATATGTTGTGGCCCATGCTCTAGTTTGCATCATTTTGTATGCTTAAATCAACACATTTAGCACTTTAGAAAATGACTTACCATCAAGTTTTAAATAGCTACCTAGTGTCATGTGTTCTCTCTCTTTCAATTTCACAGCACATTTAGTAAAATGTGTCTGTAGATTTCAATACCATAAACATCATTACTTTAATCCGCACATATTCGCAGAATATCAAGTTCCAATTCCTAGGGTAAAGAAGCTCTGTCTGTAGCAGAGTTCATGTATGACATTTAAGGTATGAATTGCTCCCATTCTGTGCTTTTCCCAAACCATATTTTTACATATTTATGGACATATTTCTTTGAAGCTTAGATAATTTATAAACAAGTAAGTGTTTAAGTGGAATTCATAAAAGTTTAAAACGATTTTTTTATGTAATTCAATAGACTGCTTCTCAATCTGCTGCTTGTGAAATCCCAGTAAGTAGCATGAGAATCCTAGACGGTTGCTGCACCTGTGCTTGGAGCAGATTGGTTTTGAGTGTCAGATGCTCACCTTGCAAATCAGCAGAATGTGTCCTCTCTGCATGAATCCCTTTCCTCTTACCAAAGTTCTAGTGGTATGCTATGGTGAGAACAATTCATGGGATAGAGGATAAAGCCCCCCAGTTTATACATAGGCAGACAAAATTGTGACCTTCAAAAAATGTAGACCAAGTTTCAACCAGAAAAAATTTGTAAAATCAACATTAGTATTTAAGAGGACAGTAAAACTTCCGTTTCCAGACTGGTCTGTCAATGCTTCTTAGGAAAAAAGTGGAAGTGTAGCAGCTGGAAACACCTTTCCTTAGCATTTCTTCACATTTTCCCATTGTCTAACTATAATATAGTAAGCATTTTTGTTCCCCATGCACCAGAATGAGGTTATTGTTAACACTTAATGTACTTTGGCCTAGCGTTCATATACCAGTGGAGACCTCTGAAACCAATACTAGAGGCTTGTACATGTCAAAGGTGACCAATAGTTTGGGTCTTTAACCTATGACAGTCATCATCTTCTGATTGGAGGAATTCCACAGTTTATTATAGATTTCAGATTTAGACTCATCACTTTATTTTCACTCTGTTACTGCCATTTTTTCTTCATGTATATAGAAGATTAGTAATTCCCATTCAAGCTATAAAAAGGGCATTTGTTTTTAAAAGGGTAGAAATTATCCCTCTTTTAAATTCTGGTGCTTAAAAGTAATTCACATGCATGCATATACACACACATGCACACCTGAAATGAATTGAGGAGATAAATATAGTAAGGTATGATGACATCAGATCCATCCAGAATATGACAGTACTGTGGATCTTTAATACCTGTGCATGTCTGTTAAAATTTTTAACTACTGCACTTCTGCTTTTTTGGATTGATGCTCTTAAGGGTTTTAGTGCCCATGATGGTAACTTTCGGCCTTTTGAGGAATTGTTTAATAGCACTGAATGTGTTTGATGCATTGTTTGAGCATGAGTTTGGTGGAATTAATGTTAGGAAAAGCATTATAAAGGAAAATAGAGTTACCTGGTAGGTAGAAGATGGAGGAGAAAGGGGCAAAAAGAAAGTTGCTATGAGACATTGAATTGGTGGACTAGAGAGGGTTTAAAAGTGATTTTAGACTACTTGCTATTCTTCTACAAATGGAATTGCCTTTAAGAAATCTTGGTTTAAATTCTGTTTTCCTCTTGAAGATCCCTGGTGGAGAGGCCACTTATTTGTGGAAGAAAAAATAAAATAGAGCTCATATAGAAGAGAAGGGCAATTGTAGAGGAAGAAAGGCACACCATTTGTGGTGGGGGGACCCCAGGCTGGAGGACAGACATGGATTCTGGTCCTGACTTTGCTACTATAATAGCTTGTAGTGTAGTTTAAACTTCCTGGGCTGTAAAATGGATTGGCTCTTGAATCTGTAATTCTTTGCCTATGAGGTTGACTATTGGGTATGTCTAGTTATAGAAATGGTAAGAGATTGTTCTTCATATGTGAGGAAAGTTGAGACACCTAAAACAATGGAGTAGGCTTTTAAATAGTGGAGAAATGGTGTGTTTTGGTTGGATATATGAAGGTAATGGTGGTTCTGCCTTTTTAGATGAGGCCATCTGAGGAGGGAGTGTACTGGGGTAGAAGGGAAACACTGGGGTAGAAAGGAGAAGCAAAAAGGGAGATATTTAATAAAAGATTGAAGTTTCTCTTTTATATGCCCCTATTCTTGCTGCACAGTAAACTTCCCTGCATGTGACAATCTGCATGAATATTAAAACCTACTGTTCTCCATATTTATGACTTGCATACACATGGTGGTTTTTGGTGACTTGTTAGTAGTATCTGCAATCTGATTTGAATGTATAGAACCAACATTTTTGTTCTTCTTAAATTTGCAATGTTAAAATACATGAAAATTTGTATATTGAATTCATTTTAGATAGCAAATATTTTGCATGCTCTGAGGTGTTATATTATTCTTACTCTGTAAGTTTGGACACAGGCCCTAGGGCTCTGGTTCAATAGTAAGGATGTAAAACTTATCTGTTTTTTGTAGTACAGTAGAACTGGCTGGTTCCCCCTAGCTGCTGATAGCATTACCTGGTTTTCATGTTTTCTAGCTATAAAGAAAGGCAATTGAAGGGTACATGGGATGCAGGTAATTGCTGGGAGAGCAACTTCTCCATGTGGATTTGTAAAGCTCACTCTCACTTCCCTCCAGGCCCTGTGCCTGGCATTGCCTAAGTTGTGACCATCCAAGGTTCAGAAAGCAGAGGCTCGTAGCATATAGGAAGACTGGAGGTTCACCCAAGGAAGCTGGCAAAATTTTAATTGGTAAGATTTTAGAAAACCGACACTAGAACTCAGACCTCTTAATTGCCAATGTGGCACTTTTGGGGGTAGAGGGGGTAAGATAGTTAAGGGAGGAATACATTTAAAAAAAAAAAAAAGGAATATGAGAGTCTGTTACAGGGTACCCAAAGGACTGGCCTGAGAACAAATCAATGTTATCTTCTAACCTCTATCCTCTTAATCTCTGTATTCCTCCTTTGTAATTTATCTTTACTGATACTATTTTTTTTTTCCTTCTTAGATGTACAGGTCTTGAAAGAATTCTTAGCCGCATCAGCTGCAGTTTCTCACAGCACCTTGGGGTTAAGGACTTAAACAAAAACAGAGGGCCAAAATCTCCTTTTTTCTCAGAACACAGGCAAGATTTCTTAGTCTTTCTCTTACTCCCAGTACTATTACATTCATAAGGGAATTTTTATAGATTATAGACTTAAAAGCAAGAAGACTTTAGTCCTGAGGTAGAAACTCCTAGCCATTTATCTGAGTAATATTATTTTGCTTTCTTCTCTTCTTTAATCTTTGCCCAAGTTTCTGTTTCTTTGTCCCAGACTTGCAGCATTGGGCTTCTTTTTGATTCCCACATCTTTGTTCTGAGAGTTCTTTGCTGACTCTGGCACCTGTGTGGTGTGCAGGGTTTGCAGGAAGCTGTTCCTGAAACTTGCTCAGCTAACATGAGGGCCACCGTGTGCAGGCTGCACTGGCTCATTTCTGTCTGCGTTGGAGGAGACTGCCTTCCTCTTCTCATGCTAAACACAATTGTTGGAATGTTATTTGCAACTCCCAGAGCTACATTCTGGCTCAGCTTGGTAGATACAGTGTAAGAGACAAGTGGCCCACCCCTTTTTCAAGGAATAAGAGAATGTACTATTATTTTACCAGGTTCTTTTGAAGGTCTGGAAATTGATTTTTGAAGCCAGGGATTGAATCATCAGGATGATTTGAGGGACAGGAGGAGGATGCTTGTCACCCCGAGGATTTGGCACCTCCATTCAGATGTGTTCCCTGCTGTCTCCCTATCCACTATCCTACATAATCCTATGTTCAATTAGAGTCTGCTGACCAGATTGGCAGGGAGGGAACCATTCTAGCATGCTCAGACCTAAGCCCTACTTGGCAAGCAGGTCTCCTAAGTGGTCCTTAGAAGCAAGTCAGACCTAGCTGGTTTTAGGATATTTGATCGCTGTGTGGCGTTCTCCCTCCTTCTTGATACCTGTGGGTCTGTTCTACCAAGGAAACAGCCTGACCAGCAGCTACTGTCCTGTCATCTTTTCTGTGCAACCTATAGGCAGTTTAGACCTCCAGCCTTTTACAGGAGCCTCCTCTGCTGACACTAACTAATCTATAAGCCCACTCTATCATTTGGGGCAAACAACAGAATGTAGTCCCACTTATGTTGTGATCTGCAGTTCTTTTCAATAAGCAAGATGGCATTACTATTCTGGTTCCCTTTAGCTTTTGTGCCATTGCAAATCATAGCCAGTAATAGCATCTAAAAGTGTGGTACTTTGATCTTGTAAGTTTGCTACCTGAGAGATTCCTCTGTTCTTCCAGAGGTGATGCTACCTCTTTGTTCATTGTCTTCCTGCTATGACATGACTTGAGGCCATTGATTTAGAGATAAAGGGAAGCGCTAATTCACTCTGTAGTAAATCACTTGAGTACTATTGATCCAGATAAGTTTGCAGTTCTATTTGCTTCTTTCCCCTATAGAGCTTTTCCTAATCAGTCTCGTTGGACACATTGAAGAACTACAAGGTCAGTGCCTTGTTGACTAAGGGGATATCATCTTTTTTAATTACAGGTTCCATTACAGCTTATAGAAAGTGTTGAATGCCGAGATATATTTCAGCTTCATTTGACTTGTAAAGACTGTAAAGTTATCAGGTATGTGGTATGTTTGTGCTTCTGTTTAGTGTGGAAAATATTTTTAAAGAATGGATCCATGGTTTGGTAACTTAGCAAAACACCTTTGGAGAATCAGACTTGTTAGGAATATTTTCTGAGTAGTTAGTGCCTAAAATATTTTCTTTAATATCTTTAGTGTACTTTGCTATGTTGAAAGACTTTTTTTTTTGAGACAGAGTCTTGCTCCATTGCCCCGGGTAGAGTACAGTGGTGTCATTACAGCTCACTGCAACCTCATACTCCTCAGTTCAAACAATCCTCCTGCCTCAGCCTTCCTAGTGGCTGGAACTGCAGGCACACACCATCATGCCCGCCTAAGTTTTTCTCTTTTTGGTAGAGATGGGGTCTCGCTCTTGCTCAGGCTGGTCTTGAACTCCTGACCTTAAGCGATCCTCCCATCTTGGCCTCCCAGAGTGCTAGGATTACAGGCGTGAGAAAAATATTTTTTGGTTTTTATTTGGAAATAATTTCAAACTTACAAAAAATACAAAAATAAAAATAGTACAAAGAACATCAGTATACCATTTACTCAGATATCCCTGTGTTATTGTTAACACTTCACTCTCATTGGCTTTATCATTTGCAGCGGCCTTCTGTGTGTGTGTGTGTGTGTGTGTGTGTGTGTGTGTATGTGTGTGTGTGTGTGTGTATGTGTATGTGTATGAGAGATTGTTTTCCTGAACAATTTGAGAGTAAGTTACATAATCATGGCTCTTAACCCCAAAATACTTTAGTGTTCTTTCCTAAGAATAGGGATATTTTCTCATATAACCACAGCATCATTATCAACTTTGCAATTTTACGTTGATAATATTTTTATCCAATCTACATACATGTTCCAATTTTGTCAATTGACCTAATGATGTCCTTTATAGCATTCTCCCTCACTGCCTCACTCAGTATAGGATCCAGTCTAGGTCAGATATTACATTTAGCTGCCATGACTCTATAGCTTTCTTTAATCTGGAGCATTTTACACATCCTTTCTTTGTATTGTTCAAAACGTGAATGTCATAAAACACAGTCTTTTATTTTAGTATCATTTTGTATTTGTCAAATGTTTCCTCAATTGAGGTTGTGTATTCTCGGCTGGAATACTGTATATGATGTGTCCTTTTCAGGGTATTGTATCACATCTGGAGGCAGACAATGTCCACTTATCCCTTATTCGTGATGTTAATTTTGATTACTCCAATCAAGGTGTCACCCGATTTCTGTATAATTTCTATATTTTCTCCCTCACAACTAATAAACAATCTATGGGAGGCACTTTGAGACAGTGCAAATGTCCTACTTCTCATCCAAATTTCTCTCTAGGTTTAGCATCCATTGATGATTTTTATCTGATCTAATTTTAACTGTAATAGTTGCAAAATGATGCCTAAAATTCGTTTTTGAAATTTAGTAGCTCTAGAAATTTTAAATTCTGCACGTTTTTACTTTATTATCCCTTTGACCTACTCTGGGTTGCCAGTAAACATTGTGTGTTGGCATACTGATGAGTCACATTGATTGGGATGAGGGGAGAGGTTTAAGTGACCGCTTGTTGGTTTTAAGGTAAATATTTTAAGTTACTTTTTAGTCAGTGACAATTGGCTTTTAATAGATATTGGCTAGAACTCACAGTTTAAAAAGCTTGCTTATTGTTATTACTCAGTTTTTAACACTGCATTCAAAAAGGCAAAATATTTAAACAAATTCTTAAATTAGTTTGCTCTAATTATTTTGACCTCTTAGTTGTATATACTGAACATTGCAGTTGATAATATAATTTTTGTTTTCTATGCAGTCACAGCTGAAAATTTCAGGGTAATCTGTCTTTATTTTGGATCTGATTTGTCCTAATTGCTAAATAAGCAGATAATGAAATCATTCCCTAACTGACTAAAAGTAGTGCTGTGGCTTATTTTTTAGCGTGGCCTAATAATGTCATTACAAAACCAAAAGGATTTTTCTAAACATATTTTGTGAGAGGGACAACCAGAAAACTTTGATGGAAGAAGTAGAATGAAATCCCATTCATGAAAGAGAATAACTGCCATTTTTCTGTAATTGTCATTAATCTCAAGGGATTTCATTGGTCTAAAAAATAAGCTTTCCACATGTCCAGTTTTCTTTTTGACATTTTATATCATTGGCTAAAATTTGTTGGGTCCTTTTTTATTGTAAATGATGATCAATATGTGAATGACTCCTCTGATGCTGTCTTGATTGTAGTTCCCACTTCACCATGTGTAGGCACTCTTGAAATGGTGGCTTTTCTTATGTTCATTGTCAACTGTCTTCTGATTACTTATTTGGCTTTACCACAGGTGTCAGTTCTCAACCTTTGAGCAGTGTCAAGAGTGGCTGAAGAGACTGAATAATGCAATCCGACCACCTGCTAAAATAGAGGATCTCTTCTCATTTGCATACCACGCTTGGTGCATGGAGGTCTATGCCAGTGAAAAAGAGCAACATGGAGACCTGTGCAGACCAGGTAGGCCTTTCTAAAATGTACAAATGGCAAGGGGCTTTGTCAAGCTATTGCTGGAGGTACCTTTAACATAAAACAGGATGCCTAAGCTTTCATGTATTCAATCAGTGTGTATTTTATGGAGCACCATAATGATGTGCCCATCATTCTTCTACTCTTAATAGAACATGTTTCCTGCCTTCCAAGGGAAGGGAAGAACACCAGGTTTGGCATTATAATCTACTGGGCCTAAAATCAACTATAAGGCTTCATGGTTGTTATGGAAGCCTAATAGAAAGAAGCCATGAGTTTTGTGTACATGTTTGGGAAGACTTCACGTTAGAAGTGGCTTTTGAGTAGGCTTTGAAGGTTGAATAGGAGTTCATTGATTAGAGAATGGGGAAAAGAACATGAGAGAAAGTATCATAAACAAAGGCACAGAGGTGTGAGGATAGGCTATAGAATAGTGGAATACAAAATGGCTTTCGCTGTCTTAGAATTTTCAAGTCATAGATTACCTATTGTCACCCTTTTTATCCCATAGATGAAGAAATAGGTCCAGAGAGGCCAACTTCCTTCCTCAAGGACAGATAGAGCTGTTAAGCCTGTTCTGGAACCCAGGCATCCTGACTTCTCATATAATCTTTGTCCCATTCACTGTCTTTGCATTGACCAAGTTCATGTTGCTTCTCTGCATTTAGTTTTCTGTAAACTTTATGCTGCCATAAATAGAACTTTGCTGTTCTAACACTGACTCTTAGTGTGTTAGGCTTCAAGGCAAAGTCTTGAATTTCTAAGCAGTGAAAAGTTGTAAGCCTCCCTCAAGTAAGTTTACTCTTGGAACTTATTTCTTTATACTGGAAATTTTAATCCTGAATCTTCAATCTTATAAGTTGGCCCTGGGTTATTTTAGACATTTGAAGCTAATCTAGTTATACTTTGTTCCCTGGTCCATCACTGATTGAAGCTTTTGGTTCAGATTTTTGTTCTGTTCAGTTTAAATGCTTATAACAAACATAAGCATTATCTTATTTTTAAAGATGCTTTGATGTTTACTTTGGTTCTCATGACCTCATCAGACAGGGAGGATAGCCTAGTGTCTCTGTTTTGGGAGCCAAAGAAATGGAGGCTCACAGGTAAAGCTTGTTGTCGAGTCCCACTACTAGTCACTGACAGAGCTGGGATTTAAAACCAGTTCTCAGCTTGTGACTGACCGTGTGGGGTGCTATGGATACAGAGCTTGAAAAACAGAGGCTTTCGTGGAACCTCAGGGGAAGCCTCAGAATTTAAATCCAAAGACATCCACAAGAGACCACACGAATCTTGAAAGTTTATGAGAATGTGCTTAAACTATCTCTCACTTCACACTCTTAACCATTCCATCTCTTTTTTTTAATCTTTATTGAGGTGCCATCACATTTTAAATTTATTTTTTGTTTATGACTGTTTTGTTGTTGGTTTTTTTTTTTTTTTTTTTTTTTTTTTTTTTTGAAACAGAGTCTCACTGTGTTGCCCAGGCTAGAGTGCCGTGGTGTCATCCTCGCTCACAGCAACCTCAAACTCCTGGGCTCAAGCGATCCTTCTGCCTCAGCCTCCTGAGTAGCTGGGACTACAGGCGTGTGCCACCATGCCCGGCTAATTTTTTCTATATATTTTTAGTTGTCCAATTAATTTCTTTCTATTTTTAGTAGAGATGGGGTCTCGCTCTTGCTCAGGCTGGTTTCGAACTCCTGAGCTCAAACAATCCGCCCGCCTCGGCCTCCCAGAGAGCTAGGATTACAGGTGTGAGCCACCGCGCCCGGCCTCGTGTTGTTGTTTTAAGAAATGAGTTCTCACTCACGTCCAGAGTGGGGTGTAGTGGCGTGATCATAGCTCACTGCAGCCTCAAACTCCTGGGTTCAAACAATCCTCCTGCCTCAGCCTCCTGAGTAGTTATGGGTACGTGTCACCACGCATGGCTAATTTTAAAAATTTTTGTAGAGACAAGTCTCACTGTGTTGCCCAAGCTGGTATTGAACTCCTGGCCTCAAGTGATCCTCCTGCCTTGGCCTCCCAAAGCACTGGGATTATAGATGTGAGCCACCACACCCAGCTGGCTTTTTTTAAAGAAAATTTATAGACAATGAAGTGCACAAATCTTACATGTACATTTGCTGAGTTTTTAACCATTGTATCTTATTTTAAAAATTTTTAGTCTGTCATCTCTTAGGATAATGAACTTAATGAATGCATCCTGCTGCATTATGTTAGAAGAACTTTGATTTAAGACCCCTAATACCAAGAGGCATTTCCTAATTCTGGGTTGCCAGCATTCAGTCAACAGGGCTTGCTTTCTCTTATCCTGTTCTCTTAACAACCACAGACTGAAAAATCCTCATCTTTGTAAGAGGACTTTATTTCCTTGATAACTTTAGTTGTTTCTTTTGGATTTGAGCCAACTCTTTAGCTATTTCCTAAGAGGTACCAATTCAGAACCTCACTCTTGTCTTTTAATTGTGGGTGACTTTGTCCTGAGGTAGGGTGACTTTGGTTCCTAGGCCCTTTCCTTCCTGATTATATCTGGTATTCTTTGGCTACCAGGACATAGAGATATCCACAACAGCCTGTCTTTTTGTGGATTTGTGATGCATGGGACGTGTTGGGGTAAAGTGCTGATTTAGGAATTAGAAACCTGAATTCAAACACATACTCTTATATAGTTGGGGGGAAAAAAAAAACAAAGCAGTGGGAAAACTGTTTTTCCTCTCTGCACCTTAGTTTCCTTTGTACTTCATACTGGAACATTCACGTTCTTCCTGCCCAAGCTGATCTGGGTATCTTGAAGATCAACACTGTAAATGCTACATAATTCAATTCAGTAAACGTTTGAGTGCCTCTTCTGTGCCATGCTTGTGAAAACACTTCGTAAATTATGCAACTATAAGGTAATGTCATCATAACTGATTTGTTGGAAATAACTCTGAGTAATGATTGCGTTTTGTTTCTTTCCAGTGTACATATCCACACTGAAGTTAACCTGCCACCACTCATGTGGAATCTTACTGTATTTCAGTGACTTGGTTGAATGTCTGTGTATATGTGGTTTTTTCCCTTTATGTATTTTCACTGTGGAGTATAGAGGAAAAGCTTGCTTTTAATTAAAAAAAAACAAAAAACAAAAAAACCTTGGTGGCATTTTAAAAGCCAGTCAACCTGGTTCTTTTGTCTCCACCCAAAATTGTTGAGTGTTGTTGGGTGGCTATAGCATTACTCACCAAACAAAGAGCATACCAGACAACCACATTCTTATAAGTCATCTTTAGGATGAGACAACACTTGAGATACTTCAAAGTCATGCCTTTTTATAATCTTCCCCAGTGCGTGAGATCACAAGCATAGATTGTGAGGGGTAGAAATTTAATCTTTCTGCAGTTAATAAATCCTTTTATGGATTCTCCTTCACCTAGCCTGTTAAGAGTAGAATGTATCAGAGAGGAGGGAAATGGGAAAATTACATCATTGCCTTGGTATTCATATAAATCTAGTTTCTAGTTGTTGAATCTGTCATATTAATAGTTAGCCGTACTGTGGCCACAGCTGTAGGTCTGGAGCTTTGGAATAAATCTCAGCATTGCTGTTGGAGTTCACCTGTGAAAGCTATAAAAGCCTTTGCAAACACTTGACCCTGCTCTTAGTCCCTTAAACTCAAAGGAATGGGCTTAAAGCTAAAAGCTTCTCTCCCATGTCCTCAACTTCCTGCTCTTCATTGTAGCTGGCTTCTTGGCGATGGCTGTGTCCTAAAGCATTAATCCGAAGGTCCTGACAAATGTGACTGGTCTGTTCAGCTTCAGTTTGGTAGCAGCAGGCCTACCTCTCTGATCTCTCTTGTGAGAAACATCCATCAAACACATCTTGCTTATCTACAAATTTCATATGACTCTGGGTCTTACACTGCTGTGCAGCTGCCTGCCTATCTGTCTTCTGGTTTGAATGCAGCCCAGGAAGTGTGCAGGACTTTTGAAACCTTTTTACATAGAAAAGAGTAATTCCTCTCTCCATATTTGAAAATGTGGGAGGGATAGTTCCCACCTTCTATAGGTCTGGTACTGGTCTGCTTCCTCACATGCCAGGTAAAGGCCTGTCCCTTCTATCCTAGGCCTTTAAGCTGTGTGTAGTTGTGGGCTTGAATACTCAGAATCAACCAGGGAGCTAGACTTTTTTGGGGGAAAATTTTTTAGACTGCCAGTTGACACAGTGGTTATGATAGAGGTCAGAGAATTCATTGCTTTAAAAAAAAGTTTTCATTTCCACCAAAATGGGAATTGCTGGACTGTATTTGTAGTATAAGAAATACTAAATGTTGAAAAGGGACAAATCCCCATTTAGGGATGTGGGGGGAAGCAGACAGGAAGAGTTGAAATGGAAACATAAAGCCAAACAAAAACCTTATGGCCCCAATATTTAAAATAATTTGGGATATTACAGTATATCTAATATTGAATCAGTGGAGACATGGGAATTCTGAGTTGGAAATTCTTAAGGAGAATCTAGCAACCGATGTATTTACTTTTCTGGCAAAATAAACTTAAGTGAACATCTAACGTAATTTTCAAAAGCTTATTAAATTACTCATTTAAGATCTCCTAGATTTTTTTCAAGTGGTGGTTTTCAAACAAGTTGTGATCCACTAGTGGGTCATGAAATCAAATTTTAAAGACATGAAACAGAATAGAAAATTACTAAAATATATCACACACATAGTAAGAGTGGATATTGTTTTCTGAAACCCTTTTTAAAAACAAACATGTCGTGATGCAAAACATAATTCTTATTTTGGATTGTGATCATCAGTTTCAAAGTTTATGAAGTCACTGCTTTAGAGGATACAAAGATAATTAAAACTCCATGTTCTCAAGGAACTTGAACTAACAGATTTTCTATACCTGCGACTCAGTATATATTTCTCTTGTGTATTGCTCAGAATTTCACGCTCTGGATGGTGGTTCTAAGCTCTTCTTGGGGTTATGGTTCTACAAAGTAAATTGCTAGTAATAGTGGTGGTGGTTATTATTTTACCAGTGTTATTTTTAGATCACAAGATTCTTCTAGGGTATCTATGTATTTTATCCTAAGATAGAGGTATTGATGTATAAGATCATTAATAAAAGTGCTTTCACCTTTTGTAGAGACTTATGGCTATATCCCAGGGTGGGAAAAAAATGTTCTCTGAATTAATGAACTTGGAAGTTGCCATAGTTTTATAGCTTTTAGATGGACATTATGAATCAAAAACTCCTTGTCTAGTATTCTTTTATTTTATTTTTGAGTCAGGGTCTCTGTCTCCTAGGCTAGAGTGTAGTGGCACCATCATAGCTCATTGCAACTTCAGATTCCTCGGCTGAAGCCATCCTCCTGTCTTAGCCTCCTCAGTAGCTGGGACTATAGACATGTGCCACCATGCCCAGCTAATTTTTCTATTTTTTTGTAGAGATGGGGTCTAGCTCAGGTGGCTGTTCTTGAACTCCTGGCCTCAAGTGATCCTCTCACCTCAGCTTCCCAAAGTGTTAGTATTCCAGGTGTGAGCCACCATGCCTGGCCTCCTTGTCTAGTATTCTTGATGGTCAATATTCCTTGCAGTTTGCAGACAGATGGCACCCCAATTCAGATAGCTTTTTTCCTATTGGGAAGCCCGCTATATCGCTTCTAAAACTTTTCCAAAATGGAATGGATTTAGCTATTTCTTCCTGCATCTGTGAACCTCTTCTTTTTATAGCTCTTCTTCAGGAAAAGTATAATACCTAGCTTAAGCTCAAGAAAAGCAGTTTAAATGAGAAGTAGTTTTACAGAATTGTCTTTCATTCAAGTAATTGCTGTTTGCTATTTTGTAACTCCTCTCCTAGGGAGAGCAAAGCGTTATACCTTGATCACCAAAGCAATCTGTTTTTTACTTTTATTTGTTGTGGTGGTTTTTCCCAGCCCCGACTAGTACTTATTTTATAATCTGTAACACTATGCATTTAGGGGTATTGCTTAATTTTTTTAAATAAAATTACTTCCCTAGGACTGTGTTTGTTTTTAAGGAAGAAAGTTATTTCAGATTTACTGACATTTATGTTAGGCTCACTTCTACCTTTGTTGCTATCTTAAGAAAGAAAAAGCCAAATTCATTAGGGTGAATGTAGCCAGATTATGCATATTTGAGTGGATGTTATCACAAATGATCAGCACTTAGTGGTATGGTGTTTCCTGAGATTCCTAGGTACTGGCAGTAATGATTCCATGACCTCTTGCCTGGAATTCTGTAAAATGCTCTGAAAACCAAAAGGCTTTTCTTACTCTATTTGGTGCTTATCCTGATGTGAGCTGACAGGAGGCTATTTATTGATTTATTTATCCAAGTTGGTGTAAATTACCCATACATTTCACTGAAAGAAGAAATATTAATGCTCAATTAAGTAGATCCTTTTGAGAGCATAAGCCTAATATTATAATATATGCATTGTCTTACCTTTCTAAAACCTGGGAAACACTCGTTGTGAAATCTGCACCAAAGGGTTTTGGATGAGTAATTGTATTAATACTCTTGGTGATCTTGTTATTGATTTTCTTATTATGTGTACTGTTGGTCTGAGTGTGGAAGTAGGAAAGTAGCTAGTGTAGTGACAAGAGCATGGGGTTTGGGGCCAGACAGACCTGCCATGATAACCTTTCTCAGTTTCAGTTTTGTCCTTTATCAAGTGAGTTCAGTGATGCTGCTCTGAGTTGATAGTAGAGATTAGTTGAAATAACATAATTCTTGATCAAAATTAGTTTCTTTCCTTTTTATGGTCTTAACCTGACAGGGATCTTTTTAAACTAAAGCTAAGTGTATGTTATTTTATTATTTATACAATTCCTGCCTTTAAAAAAAAAAACAACAAACCTAGCAGGGTGATTATGCTTTTATTCCATCTGTTTTTCAAAATGGTATTTATTTCTTCCTTTTTTGCTGTCTATCTCTGGCCCCTAGGGGAGCATGTAACGTCAAGGTTTAAAAACGAGGTGGAGAGGATGGGTTTTGATATGAACAACGCGTGGAGGATTTCCAACATCAATGAAAAGTACAAGTGAGTTGTATGGGTCCCTGTGGACTGTTTCATAGCCAGTGCCTTTGCAGAAACTCCAGTTCTCATGTGGCAGAACATTTGAACTTAGACTTTTCCTTTGAAATGGAGTTGTATTTATTAAGTCTAAATCTGTGGTCTCCAACCCCCAGGCTGAGGACCGGTACCGGTCTGTGACCTGGTAGGAACCAGGCCACACAGCAGGAGGTGAGTAGTGGGGGGAGCAAGTGAAGCTTCATCTGTATTTACAGCAGTTCCCTGTCGCTCGCATCACCACATAAGCTCTGCCTCCTATCAGATCAGCAGAGGCATTAGATTCTCATAGGAGCACAAAGCCTACTGTAAACGGTGCATTTGAGGGATCTAGTTGTGCACTCCTTATGAGAATCTAATGCCTGATGATCTGAGGTGGAGTTGAGGCAGTCATGCTAACGCTGGGGAGTGGCTGCAAGTACAGATTACCATTAGCAGAGAGGTTTGTACAATAAATGTAATGTGCTTGAATCGGCCCCAAACCATCCCTGACCCCAATCTATGGAAAAATTGTCTTCTATGAAATCGGTCCCTGGTACCAAAAAGGTTGGGGACCACTGGTATAAATGGGTGACCTTCAGAGTACTTCTTGAACCTACTGTTCCCATTGCTATCTTTGGGAATGGAAAATGATCCTTACTTACCAGGGTCCTGGAACTTTCCTTTCTACCCTTCCCTCAGGCCTCTGTTCTCCCTGGCAGAGGCATGACTAGATAATACTGTTTACCTGCAGGCAGGCAGTTTCCATTGTTCTCATCACCACTTAGCATCACATTAGAGATAGGATCAGTGACCTCATAAGCAGTGACAAAACACTTAGGAGCTAGTTTTTATGACTGTAATTTTATTCTAGATCCTATGAAATAGACGTAAGTACAGGTTGAGTATCCCTTATCTGAAATGCTTGGGACCGGAAGTGTTTCTGATTTGGTATTTTTTTGGATTTTGGAATTTGCATACACATAATGAGATTTCTTGAGAATGGGATCCAATTCTAAATACAAAATTCATTTGTTTCATATATACATTAATAGCCTGAAGGTAATTTTATATAATATTTTAAATAATTTTGTGCATGAAACAAAATTTTGACTATGACTCATCACATGCGGTCAGGTATAGGTTTTTCCATTTGTGGTGTTACATCAGCACTTAGTTTCAGATTTTGGAGCATTCTGAAGTTTTGGATTAGAGATGCTCAACCTGTATTACTCTGTTCTTCAATGTTGATCTAAAAGCAGCTTCACAGCTATGATCATTTAACCATTAAATGTTAATGTAATTTAGCCTTTACCTGTTTCCTTAAAATGTTTAAGTGGGGAAGGGCAGTTAACTACTGTGATGTCTGTGATCCAAGTTTTTATAAAACAAAAGAAAGTTGTCTAGGAGATTTAAATTAATATATCCTTCTCCTAAGTTTCCCTGCAGCACCAATCATTCTTGTGGTCCTTTGAGCTGCCTTAAATTCCCATAGCCGTTTTCCTGGTCTGTTTGTGGCCAGCCATCAGAGTGTTTTCGTTTTTCATTTTAAAAGCTACAGCTAATTATTATACACAGATTTTTTTTTTTTTTTTTGAGACAGAGTCTCACTCTGTTGCCCTGGCTAGAGTGAGTGCCGTGGTGTCAGCCTAGCTCACAGCAACCTCAAACTCCTGGGCTCAAGTGATCCTACTGCCCCAGCCTCCCGAGTAGCTGGGACTACAGGCATGCGCCACCATGCCTGGCTAATTTTTTCTATATATTTTTAGTTGGCTGATTAATTTCTTTCAAATTTTTAGTAGAGGCGGGGTCTCGCTCTTGCTCAGGCTAGTCTCGAACTCCTGAGCTCAAACAATCCGCCCGCCTCGGCCTCCCAGAGAGCTAGGATTACAGGCGTGAGCCACCGCACCCGGCCTATACACAGCTTTTTAACATGGGCCTTGGCCTAGGATTTAAGAACCCGGGATGTTGTGAGGAGTCAGTAGCTGCAGACCTGTCTTACCTTTGCCTATTCTTGATGATAAGTCAAAGCAGAGAAGGGAGAGTGGAGACAGGAGGAGGAAGGGGCCTCAAAGATTCTGAGGCTGCCACAGGCTTTCCTGAGTGTAACCCACCTTTCCTACACTGGCAACTGTTTATCCACCAGAGAGCAGCTAGTCCTTATAGAGTAGTAAGGTAGTAGAGTACCTATAGGACAATGAACTTAATGTTCAGAAAATCGAATCAGAAAACTATAAATTAAACCAAGCTTGTTGGGGAAAAAAAAAAATCCCTAATATGAGTTTTAAAAAGTTGTGTCTTTGAGTTTACTAGTTGTACCTCAAAAGCAGTCTTCGGGGTGTTGAAAGTTCTTCATACTATAAAGGAAGAATGTGAGAGTATAAAACAAAAGAAACGGGACTCACAGTGAGAGTATTAACTGTGATTACTGTGTCCCAGGTTATTTTTAGAAGTTTGTAGGTTAGGTGTTAGGAAGTTTGTGTAGCTGCTCTTGGTCATAGCCATTCTCCTTGTTCAGTAGCTTTTAAATTACCCATACTTTATTTTCTGGAAATTGAGAATAGAGAGATTTAGTGAAAAAGTGATCAAAATCTCCAACTCCTAAGCCAGTTTATGTTTTTCTGCCTCTTCCCCTAATGCATAGGACAGGCTAGAGCAGAGGTAGGTGGGGGCAGTTTGTATGTTTTAGGATTTGGATTAAAGGCTTTATTGCCTTCACTATTGAAAAGGAAAATTTGGTTACCCATAAAGAAATATTGTCCTGTAAATATAAACCTATCAGAAGTAGTGCTTCCCAGGACACCAGCTTGATTAGCATGAAGCTAGCATCTGTCTTCCCTAATGAAAAAAGAGCTTTTTTCCCCAGGTATAGTTTGTTCTGAAGTATGTTTTATAGAAATTATGATTAATAGCATAGTCACATCATTAACCTGGCTCAATAGTTTGTGTATGCAACAAGTAGGCTGGCATTTCATATTGGTTCCACATACCCATGGCTACACTTGTTACCTATAAGTAGGACACTCTGGTTCACATCAAGGAATAAATTAGTTAATCCTGTGAGGTCTTTGGAAACTTAAAATTGTGGACTTTTGTCCTTTATGTTTCCCTCTCACAAAAGCCTGGAAGACTGAGGGTGTGGTAGAGGTGACGCAGACTCTCAGTTTTGTAATTGGACTGGGCACTTGTGGAGTTAGAAATGACCTATGTATTTGTTATGACCGAGTTATAATGGAGAACAAAGAGACTGCCTGCGCCAGCTCCTTTTTTTCCATTGATAGTTAAGATTGCCACATTTCCAAAAGGCAGCATTGAGTGAAAATTCAAGATAGTATCCCTTGATAGATACATAAACAAACACTTAAAGCAACCCATTCTGTTGATGGACCAAAATTCAAGTAATGCTCCTCATTGCCTTTAACTAGCTCTTTGGTAGCATAATCAACATCCTTACGCTGGCTCACCTAGTATATCTCCCTCCTCTCTCCTTCTTCTCTTCTTCCCCTTTCTCATCTTCCCTGTTAGGTTATGTGGTAGCTATCCCCAAGAGCTCATAGTCCCTGCCTGGATCACTGACAAAGAACTAGAAAGTGTAGCAAGCTTCAGGTCTTGGAAGCGCATCCCTGCCGTCGTCTACAGGTAAGTACGTTGGACCAGCCCTAGCTTGGGCTGGTGCTATTGCCCACTGCATGTGGTCTGCCACCTCTGCTGCTGCTAACCTGGGAAGGGAGGGTTCAGAGAATTTCCAGGCGGGTCTCTACTTCCTTATTGCTAAACCTGCTCCTCCAATGACACAGTGGTCCTCTCTGCATCCAGAACACTAGCTTGGTGGTTCAACTGACACAGATAAGAACATTTTAGTAAAAAAGTTAGCTGGACTTGCTATTTCAAGATGCTTCTTACATTTTTTTTTTTTTTTTTTTTTGAGGCAGAGTCTCACTCGCTTGCCTGGGCTAGAGTGCCGTGGCGTCAGCCTAGCTCACAGCAACCTCAGACTCCCGCGCTCAAGCGATCCTTCTGCCTCAGCCTCCCAGGTAGCTGAGACTACAGGCATGCGCCACCATGCCCGGCTAATTTTTTTCTATTTTTAGTTGTTTGGCCAATTTCTTTCCATTTTTAGTAGAGACGGGATCTCGCTCTTGCTCAGGCTGGTCTCGAACTCCTGAGCTCAAGAAATCCGCCCGCCTTGGCCTCCCAGAGTGCTAGGATTACAGGCGTGAGCCACCACGCCCGGCCGCTTCTTACATTTTGTGAGAAGATAATTTGTTACTGCATTTAGCTTCTGATGTTAGGAGGGCTTTTGGATTCAGAGATGAGTCCTAGAAAGTGAGAATTGGGAGTATAGAGGTGAGTCATCCGTGATTGTCTTTGTGGTTGAAACTTGGATACGTGGAAGAACTCGGTTTTGTGAGAAAGTATTTAGAGAAGGCTGGGGCTTGACTGGATAGAAGATTTTGGAGATCAGAGGCATGAGAGTCAAGGGATGCAAGTTCTAGATGGGGACAGTGGCATGGTGATGAAGCGCAGATTTTGAAGTCACAGATGTGAGTTCAAGTCTATTATGATACTCCCTGCTGTGGCACCTTTAGTTAGTTCCCTGAGTGACCTCAGTCTGTTCCTAATGAAAAAAAATGGAAACAGTTGTTCTTAATTTGCTGCTGTGCTGTGACATCTGAATGACAGCCTATAAACACTGAGCTTCTCTTAGCAACATTGGGAGTAGTTGTATTCCTGAGTGCTGCTTTTGGTAATTCAGTGAATATCTCAGTTCTCACAGGATTGTGTTAAATTTTTCAGAAGTCATTCCTTCTCCTCCTGGAAATGTTTCTGATGTTGTCATCTTATGTTTACATTCTCCATTTCATTTTCTTAGTTTGCAGACTTTTTTGACTCTCCCTGAGTTGGGCCAATACAGTGGCTTCATTAGAAATAAGTCTTTTGTGCCAGGAGGCATTCCACTGAAATATTGAGGTTGTAGGAAGGGATTTTTCTCCTTGTGGAATTCCTGTGTAGGTAACCAGCTTGTTCATTTAGTCCACTGAAGGCAAATTCTGATGCTCTCCCTGAATAGAGAGTGATGGAAAGGTATTTGCTTTGGCCCAGTGGAACCCATTAAGTTTTCAATCTCAATTTTCATCACTCTTGTTTTCAGAAACCCCTAGAAAAGTAGGTCACTAGATTTACTTATCACTCAAGTGGTAAGGATGATACAGGAATTAGAGAGTAGTGAAAGCTGAAGGGATTTATGAGTCTTGTCATTGATCAGCCCAACTAGAATGGGGAAAGCAGCCAGTTGTTGCTCTGGCCAACAGCTGTGTTAGGTCAGCAGCCCTGGCATTTGTGGGGCTTGCAGACTTTGAACAAAAGGGAGAAGCACTCTCCTTTTTGGAAAGTGAGAGGCTTTAGGTGAATTCTCTCTTTTGGCATAGAAGCCTAAGAGTGCTAGTTGAAGAAACTCTTCTTAGAGTATAATAAAAATGGGAAGCCTTTCTCCCTCTTCTGAAATTTATTCTAGAGGACATGAGGATTTTTCCCCCTTTTTAGAGACCCTAGAAAATATATAAATGAAAATTTTTATTTGCAATTTTTTAGAGAAAATCTGCTTTCAAAAGATTACAAATGAAAGTTCTCTGCCTCTAAAATCAGACAGGCATCCTGGAACCTGGTGTCTGTCTCAGAGCATGTGTCTTATATCTCTGAGCTCCAAACTGAGTTGCTGTGTTATTCGGGAGTTTGTAAAGGGTATGTTGAAGAATGTTTGGGACACTCTACCACTCTTCTGCTTTGCCAGCCTAGGTGGCAGGATGCCTCTGAATCTGACTTACGTTTACTGAGTTTAGTTTTCTGTAGGCTGCAGTAGTGATTCCTGAGTTTGCCAGCTGTGCTTACTTGACAACACCATGCTGAACCAGTGCCTGATTAGGATTTTCTCCTACTGTGACAAGAGAGCACTTAATTGGATTTATTATTGAAGGCAGAGATTGCTCTAACACAGCAAGATGGTGCAAAGGGCACCCATCTGTAGTGCAATTCACAGCTCCCCTTTATTCGTGTGGTGATTATTAGAAACTCCCAGTCATTTAGGGAGCTTGCCTAACACTAAGTTAGGGATAGTTAAAACAATTACGTTTCTATGTAAAATTGAAGCATTCATTGTTTTAGTGGGGAGGTTATCTATCGGACATTTTAATTTTTATACTTTTCCTGGTTCTATTTGTTAAAGTGATAGAAATGCTTTTCTTCAGTGATTTTTAACTGTAGTGTTTGAGTTCTCTTTCGTGCAGTCTAAAGCATTTTAGAGGACTGCAGAAAACAACTGCTAATTGCAATAGCTTAGTTGAAATCTATTATAATGCCAGTAGCCCTTAAAACCCAAGACCCAGGCTGAAGAGTGCCATCTACTGCTCCTCTTGGGCACTGCTGGGAAGCATTGCAGAGGAAGAGGATGCTTAGGAAAGACCCCACCAGCCTCTTCTGTGAAGGTTTGGAGTTATTTAGCTCAGCAGTTACCCAGTGCCTGTTATTTACTAGGGGTCATTTTAAGAAGGTTTTATTTCTAGTTTGGCTCCATTCAACATGTGAGCCGGTTGAGCATGTTGGCAATATACAGGTACTTTTAGCTCCTTGTCTCCCAGGGAGGGAGGATATTAAAACTACAAGCAAACTGGTGGGTAGTTCCAGTGGAATTTGATTATTGCCAAATTTAATTTATGGCTCATGAGCTTTAGGATTAAAAACAAAAATCTCATATTGTTCCCTGAAGAAGACAAGTAGATTCAGTAGTATGTTTTATTTAAATGCATCTATGCCATACATATGTGTTTGCATATATGTGTTCGGAAACAATCTTTAAAGGAGAGTTTCCTCTGAATAGAATTTTGGGAGATACTTAAATTTTTTGCTTACCAGCTTTTGATTCTGATAATTCATTTTTACAGTGAACTGATTACTTTTATTAAGAAAAAAGCTTTACTAAGAGATGCCGCCCGCATACAGTTCATCCCTTTAAAGTGTACAACTTAGTAACTTACTATATTCCAAATGTGCAACCATCACCTCAGTCAATTTTAGTACATTTTCATCATCTAAAGAAGAAACCCTGTACCCATTAGCAGTCCTCATTCCCTCCCCAACCACCCTCGCCTTGGGTAACCAGTAATCTACTTTCTGTTCCATAGATTTGCCCATTCTGGACACTTCATATAAATGGAATCATATAGCATGTGGTCTTTTGTGTCTGGCTTCTTTCACTTAGTGTAACATATTCAAGCTTCATTGGTCGTGTAGTATGTGTCAGAACTTTATTCCTTTTTACTGCCAAATAATACAATTTTTCTAACATTTTAATTGCTAAAGTTTGCCTAATTGGGAAAAGCCTGGGTTTTAATAGCATCTTAAAGTATACTATGAGTACAATTTCTGGTCTGTCTTCTTGAAAAAGAACCTGTCAGAGTTTGGTTTACTGAGGTTGGTGCTGTTCCTTTACTTCTAAGAGCCTGAGGAAGGATAGCTGGCTCATTGAGCTATCTGCCTGTAACAAAAGCAATTTGTGACTCATGAAATCTTGGGAGATTTTGTAAAGCAATTCATTGTGGGGCCAGGTAAGTGTTTAAATCCCAAAGGTGGAATCTTGTTTTGAAAAGAATCCCCAAGCCCACTGTGAGTGCACAGTAGCTGCAGTGGACCCTCAGAAGTCGGTGAGGCACACACTTTTCTCTCTTTTGGCATCTGTTATGCCAGGACATTCAGGTTCAGTATTTCAAAGGAGAGAGAAATCCTTCATTACTGGGTAGTAGAATTAGTGTAGTATTTGTAGATTATTTTTTACCTTATTTTCCAAAAAGTAAAGATCCAAACATTTCAGTTATGAATATTTTTTTCTAAGAGTACACAGTCATTTTGTTGATAACTTTACAAAAATCTCTGATAATTGGGAAGGATATGCGTAGGTTTTGTTTATTCTTGTTGATGCATAAGACTTCTGCCCTTTTTAATACTGAGAGGACTTGAAGCTAACCCAGCACTTACCTAGAGACAGGCTGTTAATTAAGGCACTTAAAATCTTTTACTTCTTGTGAAAGTACAGAGCATCTGAATGGGGACCCCTGGGATGGGTACAATTGTTGTCTCTTGTTCCCTGCATAGGCACCAGAACAATGGAGCTGTCATTGCGCGCTGTGGACAGCCGGAGGTTAGCTGGTGGGGCTGGCGAAATGCAGATGATGAGCACCTGGTGCAGTCAGTAGCCAAAGCTTGTGCCTCTGACTCCCGATCGAGTGGCAGCAAGCTGTCAACTAGGAACAGTTCTCGAGACTTTCCCAATGGAGGAGACCTTTCTGATGTGGAGTTTGGTAAGGTGCTCCCTGAACCCATGGCAGCAGTTTTTATAGTGTCTGAGAACCTTTTCTTGAAATGACCTTTTCCTTAGAAGACATAGAGTTAATTTTATAGAAGAGGCAGTATGATGCTTCACTTGATGGGATCGTTTGAGGAGTCATGGGTCGTGGCAAAGACCAGAAGACCTTTTGTTTCAAAGTTGATTTAAGAGACTGGAGTGTGTGTTTTCTTTCTTGCTATCATGACAAGAATTGGAATATTTATGTGATAGGGAACTTGCAGTGTCTCTAGACCATGGGGGGCGATATTGGGCTTTATGAAAGGACCATAGGTATAGAAATGAAGTACAGAAGATTGGGCTATGTGGACCCCACGTGTGCTCTGGGAGTTGGTTTTTGAGAGTAAATCCCCATCAACTTTTGTAAGAAGGCAAGATAGAATATAAAGAGATGGGAGAAGTCCTTTGTATCTAGGGTTCAGGTTAGGGAATTTCATTTTATAGAGCCTTTTTGTGTCGTAATATGTGCTGTGGTTCTAATTTTGCACAGTTCTGGGAGAAACAGGTTCATTTAGTTCTTCCCCTCCCCCACCCTCCATCCCTAGATTCTTCTTTGTCAAATACTTCAGGAGCAGAGAGTTTAGCCATTCAACCGCAGAAGCTTTTGATCTTGGATGCACGCTCCTATGCAGCAGCTGTGGCAAACCGAGCCAAAGGAGGTGGCTGTGAATGCCCAGGTGAGGTGTATGGTGCTTTGTCACCCATGCTCTTTCCTCTAGCCCATGGCCAGCTGAAACTTAGTTCTCAATTTGAAGTGAGTGGTAAGCCATATTCCTTATCCTGTCTTGAAAAAGCCAGAGCTTCTCTTTGGATTCTTACCACTGTATTTTTTTTCTGAGGAGAAATGGAAGAAGAGGTGCAGTGAAGCCACATAATCTTCCTTCCCTCCCTGTGCCAACCTGTACATGATAAGGGAAGCAGATCCTCTTCCATAATTTTGGAAGCTGCTGCTTTAGTGGGCTCAATTTCTCAGCCTTCTAAAAGCTTTTTCGTTGCCTTTGACCAAAGGGTATGCCTCATCACTGGCCTCCTAGCAAACTCCTCACTGAGGGCCTCTACTCAGAAAACTTGAGCTGGAAATTGAAGCAGTAAATACAGAATTCCAGTAAGGTGCCTCTGTTCTGACTTGTAACACTCCTACCATTGCAATGCTGGCTTTCCCCAGGGAGAGGACCCCTCCCCTCTCACCCCCGTGCCGGCAGTGTGCTGATGATATAGGCAGAGGCACCAAGCTGCTTCTTTAGATGTGATCTAAGTTGGAAATTGAAAAGCATCTGTACCAAGGTGAAATTGAACGCACAAAGGCATTGTTCTGCCGGGTTCTTTTCAAAGAGAGAGCCACAAGTTAGATGAGGCCCAAGAAGTAAACCTGGATACGGTAGAAGTTTATAGGTCTTTTAAAAATGAGTTTTGGCCGGGCGCGGTGGCTCACGCCTGTAATCCCAGCACTCTGGGAGGCCGAGGCGGGAGGATTGTTTGAGCTCAGGAGTTCGAGACCAGCCTGAGCAAGAGCGAGACCCTGTCTCTACTAAAAAAAAAATAGAAAGAAATTAATCGGACAACTAAAAATATATAGAAAAAAAATATTAGCCAGGTATGGTGGCACATGCCTGTAGTCCCAGCTACTCGGGAGGCTGAGGCAGTAGGATCGCTTGAGCCCAGGAGTCTGAGGTTGCTGTGAGCTAGACTGACGCCATGGCACTCACTCTAGCCAGGGCAACAGAGTGAGACTCTGTCAAAAAAAAAAAAAAAAATGAGTTTTTATGTCAACGTCTTCTTCACAAATCTAACCTTCCTTTTTCACCTTTTTCAAAAAGACAACTAAAATTCAAAAGCACCATTTTCTTCTTATAATAAAGCACTGGGCTAATAGTCAAACATCGAAACATTGCAGTTTCATTAGGCACCAGCTGCAATGGGTATGTTTTATAGCCAGTTTGCTGCTTTTAAATTTGGCCATGTGGGCTTTAAATTCAACATATTTATTTGTGTTCTCTTTATTGTTGTTCTTTCCAGAGTATTACCCGAACTGTGAAGTTGTGTTTATGGGGATGGCAAACATTCATTCTATTCGGAGGAGTTTTCAGTCTCTGCGGTTGCTGTGCACTCAGATGCCAGATCCAGGAAAGTAAGACCTTGGCTTTCATTTTTCACTACTCTTTAAAAAAAAAAGTGCATTTGGAGGTGACTTTCCTTCTATTTCTTGGTAAACTTCAGTTATACTTTCAGTCTCTGTGAGTATCTCCTTCCTGGGTCAGAAGCATGATAGCACAGCAGAAGAGCTGGGAGAAAATCAAGCCTTTTGAAAGGTTTTAAAATGTGCAGCACAGAACAAATCTCAACCCTTAAAACAGAAGCATTGCCTTCTTCTTTTTCGGGGATCTCTCCCTTCTCTTCTACATTGCTTTCAGCCCAAAGTAATTTAATTCTTTGGTTTCTGATGTCCTGTAGTGACACTTACCTGCTATGAACTGGAATGTTTTACCACGAAGAGTGAGAATTTATTCATCATGTTCTAAAAGGGTTAAACTTGTTATTAGGTCAGTTCTTTTTACATCTCCCAATTTCTAAACTAGTCTCTTATTTACATAAAACATTATCATGATTTTTATTGCTTATTAAAAATGAATGGCTGGCATTTGCAGTGAGGAAGGTGAAATAACACCTCCTCCAAGGGTACTGTTTGAATACAAGATAAATTAGGAGGAATGTTCTGTAAAATAAATATTGACAGATAAATATTTAAAAGCCCCTCTTTTACTATTTCAGGAAGCCAGAGATATGGTGCCAGAGAAGACAGAATTTTCTTTTTTCTGGTGTTTGCGCTGGGGCCCATAGTTGTTTCCCTGGGTCTTGTTCAGTAAATCTCATGATCAAGTTTTGCTGCAGTCTTTGATTTATCAAATCAAATGCTGCCTGAACCACTTGTACTGATTCCCAGCAGCAAATGATTAAATTCATCATAGTTGCAATCAGCCCAGAGGGTAAAGTGGTGTCCTTTGGGGAAAGCCTGACTGAAGAAATGAGCTTGCTGCTTTCCTTTGGGGATTAGCCATTTGCATCTGCTACACACTCCTAGGACCCAGCTAGCAGCGCTCTTTCCCCTAAGGTGGGCTGTAGAAGGAGCCTGGCTGAGGACCCAGGAGATCTGCCATGAACTGACTGTGTGGCCTTGGCCAAGTGGCTTAATTACTGTGGGTCTCATTTTTCTTGTCTATAAAATGAAAAGGATATAATCAATACTACATGATCTCTGATACCTTCCATGTACTAAAATTCTTTCTTAAAAAGCTGTTTTTGAAACTCAGAGTCAAAAAGATGTAATTATAATAGCCCTAACCTGGTTCATGTCAGTGTGTGTGTGTGGGGGGGGGTTATTAAAGAAGGAGGTAATGCTTTTATGTATTTGGCAGCAAATCATAATGCAGTATTAAAGTCTTCCTTGTAAATTAAAAGCAGCTGTGGCAGTGATAGGACAGCTAGTAAGCCCCAGGGCCATGTTTGGGGCTGTGGAGGGTAAGGGATGGTATGTTCTACTTCAGTTCGCCCTGAGGACAAGGGAGTTTGGAGTCTCTTAGCAGTACCTCCTTAGCTGGCAGATTTTAGAGTGCAGCTTCTCTGTTTAGGCATGGATAGCGCCAACTGGTATTGAATAATAGTTCAGTTAGGTTCAGGGGAACCTCACACTTTCTCTTGTTTATTGTTTCTCCAGGGGCTAGGAAGTAACTTAGTATTTGCTCCCTTAAGCTTTATCTTTCAGTTTCTTTTGAGGTGTGAGGAATGAGAATAAATAATTGATCAGGGAAAGAAAATGTTTTTCAGGTACCTAACTAGGGAGGTAGAAAGCCTTCTTGAGATTGGATTTTAACCCACAACAGACTTAGAATTCATTAAACAGTAGGCCTCCTTACTGTATGTTAGCTAGGCACTGTGCTGGGAGTACATTTGTGACTGAGACACAGTGTTAGCTGTCTGAGGAGTCACAGTCTGGTTGGTAGACCAAACTAATCTATATGAAACCAGTGCTTATGCGCAACATTCTCTTGTCTGTTTGCCTGGCAAGAGCCCCTCCTTAGATTATTCCCAAAATTCATACTCACTCCATAAGGTTTAGTAGGCCTTTATAACCTTCTCAGAGTCCCTGGCAGAAGTATTTATTCCTTCCTCATATTCAGTGTTTGAAGGGCTGGATTGTGGTCTTAACTACAAATCTGGTCTCATTTGAGGAAAATCCAAACTCTTTCTTAGGCATTGGGAGGGGTGGGGGAAAGCACAAGAAACAAAATGTCAACACAGTTAAAAAGACAAGTGTGATCTGCTTGTGATTACTCCCAAGGGGCAGTTCTTGCTATCTGATACTCCTGAAGGCCTTTCATAAAAAGATTCATCTAGATCCCTGCTGAATCCAGTCTGTGTTAAGCAATATGGTGTGGCCATTAGTGTGCTAATTTGCATAAGTCTAAATCATTAGGTTGGGCCCATCCAGTTTTAGTCAATAAACATTCAAGACTTGAACAGTGGTAGGTGTAAGGGTCTGGGTAATAGGGAATATTGTCTGTACCATTTTTGCATAAGGCATCCAGCTTATATCTTATTATAGACATATTTATATTTGGGTTTTCTTCATTTTTTTGAGAATTTTTTGGGCAGAGTTGCTGATTATTAAATACAGATATTTTCTGCTTTACATCTCAGAAGTGGCTACATTTCCTTCAGGAGAAGATTCCAGAAAGAGCTATTTTTCTTATATTCTGCATACTTATCATGGACTGAAAAATACTATTTTCTCTGAGAAATTATCCATATAGATTTTGGAACAAAAGGTGGTTCTGTTAATCAGTGTCTGTTTCTTTTCTTTTTTAAAGAAACAGGTCTTGCTCTGTTGCCCAGGCTAGAGTCTGGAGTGCAGTGCATAATCATAGATCACCGTAACCTTCAAATCCTGAGCTCAAGAAGTCCTCCTGCTTCAGCCTCCCAAGTAGCTAGGACTATAGGCGCATGCCACCGCACCCAGCTAATTTCTAAGTTGGTTCCCTCCCCCGCCCCCGAAATGAGGTCTCACTATGTTGTCCAGGCTGGTCTCAAACTCCTGGCCTCAAGTGATCCCCCTGCTTCAGCCTCCCAAAATGCTGGGATTACGGGTGTGTGCCAGTATGCCCGGCCTACACAGTCTATTTCTAAGACTTTCCTCTATTATATAGTAGGGTTTGGGTGGTCTCATCCTTGGACTTACTTTATAAACACAAGGAGGTTTTCTGTTTGTTTTGCTGGTGTTATATTTGGAGAGAGAAATCTTTAGGGATTGCTTTTTAATTTGACAGGCATTGGGCATGATGCAATAAGTCAAAAATCAGTATTTCCTTATCTCTTCCTGTTTTTTAGTTGGCTCTCAGCTCTTGAAAGCACTAAATGGCTCCATCACTTGTCTGTGCTCCTAAAATCAGCACTTCTGGTGGTGCATGCTGTGGATCGTGATCAGCGACCAGTGCTGGTGCACTGTTCAGATGGCTGGGACCGTACCCCTCAGATCGTGGCCTTGGCTAAGCTCTTGCTGGACCCTTATTACCGAACCATAGAGGTCAGTGCATCCATAGGGGAGGGGTTGGCACTTCAGGATGAGTGGGGGAAACCTGAGGGTTTTATGATCAGGTCTAAAGAAAGTAAAATTTCTTTGTTTTTAATCATTGTTCCTTTACCTTGAGCTAAATTGTGATGGTACCTACGACAGTTCTTGTGCCTTGTAAAATGGGGCAGATTGTGGGTAACAAGGTATTGATGATATAGACATATTTTCTTTTGCAGCCTATCTACTTGGAAAAGTTTTGGCTACTCCAGAAAAATGGGGCTTCTGTAAAAGGGTTGCTTGTTATGATAGTAGATCTAGATATTACCACAGTGTTCTGTGGAGAAGCCCTACTCTGAAATAACCATCTGTTGGGTTAAAGATATAAGAAAAGCTATAAAGTACCCTAAAATATATGTGAATGTTTGTAAAAAATCTGAGGTGGAGAAGAATTATATAAACATGACTTTGTAAGTATAACACCAAAGGCAGAAATTTAAAAATAAAAGAAATTTAGAAAAAAGGTGTGGCTTTTATATAGTGAATGAAAGAGGCTAAAGATGTAAACAGACTCAAGAAAGGCTTAGATAAATGCATAGTTAGTGCCTTTCAGTGATTATGGAGTGGAGTTGAGGGAACTGGGGAACTTTCCCTACGCACGTGACCCATCAGGGGTAGAGCCTTTGGCCAAGGAGCTGAGCTGGGTGGGCTTTACTGGGAGACTGTTAAAGGGGATCACTGTCTGCAACACCAGACTCGGGACTGCCACAGTCTGGATAGTCCAGCACACTTGGTCTTTCCTGGGTGCTTCCCTGCAGGGTTTCCAGGTCCTCGTGGAGATGGAGTGGCTGGATTTTGGCCATAAATTTGCTGACCGGTGTGGTCATGGAGAGAACTCGGATGACCTGAATGAGCGTTGCCCAGTGTTTCTGCAGTGGCTTGACTGTGTTCATCAGCTTCAGAGGCAATTTCCTTGCTCTTTTGAGTTCAATGAAGCATTCCTTGTGAGTTTGGGTTTGTGATTCTTTGTTTTGGAGACTGTCTTACTTTGAGGGGTTGTCAGTACATATGTTAGTGGGCCAGTTTTCACATGAATCTATGCAGCCTTTTTAGAGTTTAATAGAGGGGTGATTTTTATCTCCCATGTTTATTAAAGAAAAAAACAGTAAACAGGCATTTGTTTATTCAGTGAATCCTTTGTACTAGATTATATAAAGTCCTTGACTTCTTTTAAGCTTAGCTTCTAAAAGGGATGATAGAAAACCTAGACAGCAGTTAGAAATAGAAGCAATCAGAATAGCCCATGCTCTCTCCAATCCATCTACCAAGCCCCCTGCTTCTGTCCCATGCTCTCTGCCCCCTCTCCTTTGACAGAGGTTGCACCCTATACTTGCTGTTTTCCAGCTCTTCTGTCTGCCAGTACATCGGCTCCCATCCTTTCTCATCTGTTCCACTGACTGGCTCCAGCATTTCTTTTCTCTGCCTTCTGCATCAGCGTGCTTCCCTCCCTCTCATACTGCGACCATCAGCATACATATGTGGTGTAGTGTCTCCCATCTTATCAAAACCCTTTCTTGGTCCAGAATTCCCCTCTAGATATCATCCCATTTCTCTGTTCCCCTTTAAAACAGAGCTCCTCAAGTCTTTCACCCTTGCTATCTCAAATTCCTCTCTTTCCATTCTCTCTTAAATTCACTCCAATCAGGCATTCACCCCACCACTTTACCAAAGCTGTTCTTGTTAAGGCGACTGGTGACCTGTGATCTTCACGTTGCCAATCCAGTGGTCAGTTCTCAGTCTTCATCTTTGATCTATCGTTACTATATGGCACAGTTTAACTGCTTCTTTCTTGAAATGCTTTCTTCAGTTACCTTCTAGCACTTCCTTGCTCTTAGTCTCCTCTTACCTTGCTGGCTAGTCCTTTCTGTCCTTTTTGGTAATTCATGCTAATCTCCCCAGTTTTGAATGTTGGAATGCCCCACAGCTCAGCCTCCATGCTGCTTCTCATCTGTGCTTCCTCTCTAAAGTTCTCATCCAGTCTAGTGGCTTTAATTGCCTTCTATATGCTGATGAGTCCCACATTTATACACCTTCAGCTCAGACCTCTCCACTTAACTGCAGACTCACATATCCAACTATGTGACTACTCAGTGTCTCCATTTGGATGTCTTAATGGTATTTCAAACTTAATAGGTTCAAAACTTTATTCTTGATCTCTGTATCTCCCTTACCCCAAACCTGATCTTCCAGAAGTTTTCCCTTTCACCATATGGCAACTGCATCCTTCCGTTTGTTTAGGGCAATAAACCTTTATGCTATCCTCATCTCTTTTATATTCCACATTCAGTCTATCAGATTTCTGCAGCTCTGATTTCAAAATATATCTAAAACCTGATTACTTATTGCCACCTCTACTGATGCCACACTGGTCTAAGCCACCATCATCTCCTCCCCTAATTCCAGAGAGTCAACCCAGCGAGTCCCTTCTAAAACATAAGACCGACAGTGTCATTCCTCTGTTCAAAAATCTCTGGTGACTTTACATTTCACACAGAGTAAGAGCCAAAGTCCTTAAAATGGCCTACAGGGCCCTCCTAGAATTACCCATCTAGGCTCATTTCCCACCATTCTCCCCTTGTGCAATCTCCTTTAGTCACTCTGGCCTCCTTGCTGTTACTCAAAATCACAAGCATGTGTGCGTGAGGTTGCCTTTTCCTAGAGCACTTCCCCCAGATGCCCATATACCTGCTCTCACTTCCATCAGGTCTCAGCCAGTGAGGACTTCCCATACTGCCCCACACCTGCCCTCTTCCTCTCACCCTGCCTTGTTGTACACCATCGCACTGGTCACCCTTGACCTACAACTAGAGCAGGCTCCATCAAGGCAGAAGCGCCGGCCAATTACTGCTGCATAGCTAGCACCCATAGTCATGTCTGGGGCGTGTGAAATGCTCAGTAATGATTTGTTGAATGAACAAGTAGTTTTACAGGTGTGCTCTCAGCTCAGACATGAGTTGTACCCAGACCTGCTCCTGTGCTCAGTTCATATGCTTTATCACTTGAGAGAGTGCCTGTTAACTCAGAATCTCAGACTGTTTACCAGGAAAGCTAAGATGAGTGGGGGTGCCAACAATCTGTCTTTGGATGGGGGTTGGGGTCAGGCCCTAGAATTGGTGGTGTGAGGAGGCGGCTGTTGAGTGGCTTATTGGGCTCCCCCAATGTGACATGGTGAGCCGAATGCTCTCAGGGATGTCAGGATAGGGTGACTCAGCTGGGCTGACCTTCTCTCAGAAAATGCATGCCCTATTGCTTAATTTTTGCCTGATTGGACTCCCATAGGTGAAACTGGTGCAGCATACCTATTCCTGCCTCTTTGGAACATTCCTGTGCAACAACGCCAAGGAGAGAGGGGAAAAGCATACTCAGGAACGGACGTGTTCTGTGTGGTCGCTTCTTCGGGCAGGCAATAAGGCTTTCAGAAACCTCCTGTACTCCTCTCAGTCAGAAGCCGTACGTATCCATCAGCCTTTCCTCTGTGATCGGAAGGAATTTGGGGCTGGGGCACATATGGGAGCCTTTCTGAGTAGTGACTGTGTGAAGGCATCTGTGCTGTCTCTAGGTGGGTTGGTGCCATTCTTTCTCTGCCGTTCTGTCCTGAGAAAGGCCTGCTTCCTGGTGGTTTGGTTTAAAATACATCTCTACTTTGCCACCCTAAACCCGAATCTTTTCCAACACCACCTCCAGAGCTTATTTCCAGCATTTTCTGTCTAATGGGTGGAAGAGGCAGTTAAGTTGCTTCCTGGATGCCACTGGTAGCTCAGAAGGAGCTCCCTCCAGGCCCATAGTACCCTCCCTTTGTCAACAGGCAATGATACCCACTGCAGCTTCTGTCTGAGAGCAGGAAACTGTGTGTGACATGGCATGTATGTTTTTGTGAGTCTCTGCTCACATGGAGATCTGGCAAGCCTCTTAAGACTTTGTTCCCCAAAGGAACCTTCTGTTAAGCAGAGAAAAGGAGGCACGTACATCTGTGTGTCAAGACATGATGATGTTCCCTTTGTCAGAATGTACCTTAGACCCTAAAGAAGTCAGAAGGAGGCTAATTAGAGGTTATATTGCTTTGCTGGACTATTAATATTCTTCTCATTACATTTAAGTAGTCAAAAAAAAAAAAAAAAGATACAAGCTAACTGCTTTTCTCTCTCTCCTTCACTGTGCCTGCTGGGGAAATAACAGTACAGGAAGAAGATTTCCTCCTTTTCATATGATTAATTTAAATGATCCTATAAAACAGGTTTGACAGTGTCTACTGAAGCCAAGCTTTTGTATCAGATGAACAGACAATCACTAACAGAATGACTCGCTTTCTTATGCAGTGAAAGCAACAAATCAAGCTGATAAAAGTCATTCCTTCCAAAAAGGTGACCTGAGAAACAGTTAATGAGAAAGAAATCCTTAAAAAATCCTTTAGATACTCATGCCCACAAGGGGCTCTGAGGTGAAAAATGTTGCCATGTATAATCCCTAGTCCTGTATTGGTCATCTTGCGAAATAGACCTGCATCCATAGATGCTGCCTCTTTGTGGAAACCCTGCTAGCCCTGTTGGGTGTTCCAGCTGAGTGCTCATTCTTGATCTTCATTTCCAGACATTTCTAGAAGACTTATTGGGACATGTTTAAACCTGCGTCCTCCCCTCTCTCCTCAGGTTCTGTACCCTGTGTGCCACGTGCGTAACCTGATGCTGTGGAGTGCGGTGTACCTGCCCTGCCCGTCCCCGTCCACCCCCGTGGACGACAGCTGTGCACCCTACCCAGCCCCAGGCACCAGCCCTGATGATCCCCCCTTGAGCCGGTGAGCCCAGGGGTCATGCCACAGGCCTGACATCGTGTTTGGGTATATTCCTATGTTGGGACGTGCCCAGGAACCACCAGAGATCATGCCATTGTCTAGCTCTACAATGTCTTTCTTAGATCTCTGCAGTTTTTTCAGGGAAGTTATAATGATTTCTGGGCTATGAAACTGTAAGGCCTTGTTTGTGGAAGTGAGCTGGGCCCTGTTCCTTCCTTCCTTTTGCATGCACCGAGCAGTTTCTCAGTTACGGAACAAATTGTCTGGGTTCTCCATGACCCCCTGGTTTTTGTTTCACCCTCTGCTCTGTGCTCCTCCTTCCTTGCCGTGATTAGTCATCTGAGGCTTGAAAGGCAAATGCAGTCAAATGATAGAGAATTTGGCTTTGCCACTTGTGAATTAGCTTTATTAAATTCAGATTGATAGATAATACATTAATTTAAAATACTATAATATCAAAAAATCAACAATGCTACTTTGCCACCAGCTGAGAAACACAGCAGCATCATGAAGAATATCTTTTTAAAAATAGCATTGCTGTTAGCTTATTTGTATGTTTGGGGCATGGAGTGAGGGCGGTGTGAGGAAATCTGCAGACCAGGAGGAGGACTCAGCTTTGCTGCTCTAGCAGTCTGAGCCTCACTCCAGGGATGCCACAGTTCCATGAGTAGCTATAATGTGCCCAATTATGAAACAATAGCCCGTTAAAACCTCTCATCTCCTACTTCCCTCTGAAATAGTCTCTGAGATTCTCATTTCACCCAAACTGCTTTCTTTTAGGCTACCAAAGACCAGATCATTTGACAATCTGACCATAGCCTGCGACAACACAGTGCCTCTGCCCAGCCGGCGCAGCAGTGACCCTAGCCTGAATGAGAAGTGGCAGGAGCACCGGCGCTCACTAGAACTGAGCAGCCTGGCTGGCCCTGGAGAGGAACCTCTTGCAGCTGACAGCCTAGGGAAGCCTACCAGAGTGCTGGGGGGCGCAGAGCTGTCTGTTGCAGCTGGAGTGGCCGAGGGGCAGATGGAGAACATTTTGCAAGAAGCCACCAAAGAGGAGAGTGGGGTAGAGGAGCCTGCCCACAGGGGGAGCACCGAGATGCAGGAAGTGAAAGAGGAGGCCCTCTTAGCAAAGGAGAGCAGGAGAAAGACGCCCGAGGGCTTAGCCATGGGACTTCACCAAGACCCAGAACTGAGTGGTGCCACTCTGAAGAGCAATCCAGGCCCAAGCCTGTCTCTGTTCTCACAGGGTATTCCTGAACAGCAGGGTGGGCACAGTGTTCTCCCCAGTTCTCTCCAGGCCCCACCCAGCGGAGAGAATTCCCAGGAGGTCCCTGTGGAGCAGCTTCCAACAGGAGAGATGGCAGAGGATAACGAAGAAAAAGTCCTTCTAGTCCCAACAGATGAAAACGTTGGCTATGATACCTCACAGTCACATTCTCTTCCTTCCCCAGTCCCATTTGAGACCAGAGGACCAAACCCGGACAGTTCCATGGACATGTTAATGGACGATAAGGTGAAGTCAGAAAGTGGGCCTCAAGGCCACCATAGACCTTGTCTGGTGAACACTGGCAGGTTCAGTAGCAAGGACGTGCTTCCCCAAACCGTGGAGCCCAGGCCTTCAGAGAGGAGCCTGGTCGAGAGGCCCCAGGTGGAGTCTCTGGTGCACAGGACATCCCCTGGCAGCACTCTCAGTCCAACACGTTCCCCTTGTGCCTTGCCTTTAGCCGAATGTAAAGAGGGACTTGTGTGCAACGGTGCCCCAGAGACTGAAAACCAGGCCTCAGAGCAGCCTCCAAGGCTTAGCACCCTCCAGAAGTACCCCGCACCCAACGGGCACTGCGCCAGTGGGGAGGCTGGTAGGAACAAGGACTCGCTCAGCCGCCAGCTATCTGCTACAAGCTTTAGCTCTGCCCACTTACACTCAAGGAACTTGCACCACAAGTGGCTGCACAGCCACTCTGGAAGGCCGTCTGCAAGTGGTAGCCCCGACCAGCCTTCCCGCAGCCACCTGGACGATGACGGCATGCCTGTGTACACGGACACGATCCAACAGCGCCTGCGTCAGATTGAGTCGGGCCACCAGCAGGAAGTGGAGACCTTGAAGAAACAAGTTCAGGAGCTGAAGAGTCGCCTGGAGAGCCAGTACCTGACCAGCTCCCTGCGCTTTAATGGGGACTTTGGGGATGAAGTGGTGAGTAGGCTGTGGTTCCTCCATAGCTGCCTGAGGAGACAGGGCACACTGAGGCCAGGCACCTTTTGTGCTGAGTGCATGGTGATTGGTACAGATTTCTAAAAGGATTGGGAAAGTCCAGAGTAGCCCCATGGAGAGAGGCTGGAGATCAGCCTCAGCCATGTAAATGGCAGCTTGCCGCTGCTTTTCTGCTTTGCCTACTTTCCACAGATGTCCTCTCGGGCAGTTAGAGAAAGAAAAGAAGAGAGTTAGCATTCACTACATGATTGATCAAATCTCTTCAGAGAGAGGATCACGTGTCTTCTGAAAGGCTTGAACTCCTGGGCAGAATGACATTTGTAGGGCAATGCCAAGTATTCCTATCAAATTGTAGTTCCTGTCCTACCTTAGTAGCTAATAAAGTATTAGCCCTCGCAGACATGGGCTGTAGCTTTGAAAGGTTTACTTCTCTTTCTCTCTGTCTTTGTCTCTGTCTCTGTCTCAAGTGCTGGGATTACAGATGTGAGCCACCATGCCCAGCATGGTTTAATTCTCCTTAAACAACTATTTGTACCCACCCCAAGGCAGGTGCTGGCAGTAAAAGTGGAGAGAAGGGATTGGTTTCTAGCACTGTTGAGGATTTAGCACTGATGGGTCTTGGTGGCTAGAAATGGGGATACCAGAGGGGAGGTTCTCAAGGAGGTGCTTCTGGGCGGGTCTGACTCGGTAGGCTGAAGTGTAAGTGTGAGCATGGCTCTGAAGTGGTCAGCGTACATTAAAGGCGGGCACATCCAATGACTTTCAATTCAGAGTGACTTCTTGGCTTTTCCTTCATGCTAATGATGGTTTTTCATGTTCCCAAAGAGTCTTCCCGAGAAAGGAGGGCATGCCCAAAGCACTCAGCTTTAACTAAGTGGTGGGGTTGGATTGACAGGTGCACTAGAGCAGCTGATACTCTAGAGTTCCCATTCCATTTTGGTCACTTTTCTCTCACTTACTTTCTAGAATCTTAAGGCCTATCTTTCTACTCCACAGTCACTGTGTACAGTCACTGCACATAACCCATGTGTCCCTCTCCCAGCTGAGCCCAGCCTCATCTCTGTCCCTGTCTGGCCCAGTTCTTGATGGCCGATGCATCTGCAGATTTGGCAGCTCTATCACTCAGGCCCACCCAGAGTCCTCAGTGTTCCCTCCTTTACCAAGCCCTTTCTTCTTCTGGGAGGAGACCAGGTTCATTCTGTTCAGCTGTGTTTGTTTGCCAACAGACTTCAATCCCCGACTCGGAAAGCATTCTGGATCAGAGCTGTTTGTCTCGCTGCAGCACAGAGATTTTCTCTGAAGCCAGCTGGGAACAGGTGGATAAACAGGACACAGAGGTACAGGCTCAGCCCCTGCTCTGAGTGCCGTGTATGCAACTATTAACATTTTGTGGTTCTTCTCCACCCCTATCCCTGCCCCATGCCCTGGCCAAGGAAGAACCTCCTAGCACGGTTAGCCTGGAGCCTTTGGCATCTCAGTTTCTGTGAACCCACATCAAACTTAGAATTTCTAAGCCAGGGAGACTCAGCAAGCTGTTCTCCCTCTTCCTTGCCTCTATGAACTGGAGCTTTGCCAGCTCTCACAGTGACCCAGGGTGCTGCTGCCTGCCATCTTATCTCAGGGGAGATTGGAGTCCCCTCCAGGGAAACGATTTGGACGCCTTTCTTGTACTGTTGACATCAACCTGCTGGGCTGGTGCCACTGGAGCTGATGTGGTCCTTGTGACTCTTGCTGCCCCAGCATGGCTCTGCTGGCTCCAGCTGTATGGCTCATCTCCTGTCACTAACCTGGTCCCATGTGTTTTGCAGATGACCCGTTGGCTCCCTGACCACCTGGCTGCCCACTGCTATTCGTGTGACAGTGCCTTCTGGCTCGCCAGCAGGAAGCACCACTGCAGGTGCCATTGGGGAGTGTGGTAGGGTGGGCTGGGTATGGAGGCTAAAGTTTGGCCCACAGAGCCTGCAGAGTGGAGGGTTGTGAGCATCTGGCTGGCGGTGTTCTGTCTGAGCAGACCCCTAGGGTCTGATCTTCTGGGCCTCCAAAATTAGTGTTTGCATAACTGCATTTGATATCTTTGTTCCAATTCAGGATGATCACTATTAAATTTTAAACTGTGCAAATGATAGCCTTTTTTGTTTTGTTTCCCAGATTGGTAGAGTGACAGCCACCACTGGAACCACCATTTCTTATTTCCAGCTTAAAGTTTCTTCCCATTCAACATGGCTGCCATGAGCAAAAATAGTTCTTTTGCTATAGGCAGGGAACTTCATTTTCCTACTCCCTTTCCCTGCTTCCTGACTGTAAACTTGTTTTACCTTGTGCCATTGGTGAGCAGCTGTAGCTGCGGGGAGCAGTAGGGACAGCTAAGGACAGAGTCTTCCAATCCTTAATGCTCCTGACTTCTTTTTCCTTCTGGATTGGAGTAGTGAGTTACTAGGGATGCTTTGCCCCAGCTGGGATGGCAACTGCCTGGCGGATGTTCAGTGTTCTTGGGACAAGACGTTTATCTGAGTCATGCCATGGCTCACCCACGTGGGTGAACCTGGATTGAAAATGGAACAACTTCTTTGCCTAGTTATGATGCTTCTGGGACCATATATCTCCCACCCTGCACCCCATGCCCGAATATCGTTGGTTGGCTTCTCCTGAGCTCTTTCTCCCCTCCTTGCAGGGACGCTGACCGTGTTGATCAAACGTGGTGAGCATATGCTACAACCTATCTGTGATGTCTGTACATCTACAATAACTTCACACTAACGCTGTCATTCCCCCCTCTCTGCACTCACTGGGGTGAAGCCTGGGCTAGTGTCCACAGGCAGGCAGGTGGGCATGGGGGGACCGAAAGCAGCTTACTGAGGAGACCGTTGAGGGTGTCAGGCTGCAGCCATGTCCTCCCCTCCTCACCACAAAGATCAGCCAGACCATCTTGTTTGTGACAAAAAACAGTGTTTCAGCAGGGGCTGGTCTCATGTGGGAGCCAGCTGGGTTGTCAGAGCTGTTTTTGGATGCCAGATGCCAGAATGATGCTAGTAACTTTCAGGTCAAATGGCATCACTGCTCCTTATTTTTTTTTTTTTTTTAAGAGACCAGGACTGAACAGAGGTGATCTTTCCAGATAATTGTTTTAGCATGAAGACTCCATTTAGGGTCTTTCAGGATCCCCTGAAAGAAGTCAGAAAAGCTTAACTGATCACATTCATGCCAGCCTTTTCAGCTGAACTCCAGCAGGGATGTTAAATAAATGTAAACATTCAGGATTTTTTCTGTGTAACCATGGTTCTTGCTGACTCATGCTTTTTAGAAACAGAGTTGTGATTTTGTTTCAGTTCTCTGTCCTTCCCTTGCACTGTGTCCCACCTTTTGCAGTATTTCTTTTGTCCCCAAATGGTCTTCAGTATTCTCTCCTTCTGTGCCTAAGTGGCCCTTAATCCAGCAGTAGGTTTGCATTCTGAGGAATGTAAATGAAGGTAGCAAGTGATGCTGGCTAAGAAGGAGGGTTTCCTTTGAGCTGCCTTCCCCCTAGTCTTTAGTGAGCTTGTCAGGCTCCTTGGGAGTTTCTTGTTCTTGGGCTCGTTGGGATTGATTTGTATTTTCGGGCCCAGCAAAGGTAGGGTTGTAAGGTGGGCAGAAACTCATCCTCTGCCACTTCCCTTTCTTGTTAGCTGTGACCGGCAACTGTCTGGGTGTACAGACCTGTGTGGCACAGATGCATCAGAGCTGGACTTCCAGGGGAGGGGGAGAGGGAGGCCTGGGCCCTGGGTGTAGTCAGGCCTTATGGAAGAGCTCTGATTTTCCCTGGAGATGCATGAGGCAAGGGAGTGAGCCATAATTGACTGACACCTATCTAATAAGGGGTATGTGTGCGCACGTGTGTTCATCTGTGCTCTTGTCCCCTTCCACCTCTCTCCACTCTGAGCATGCATCATGGGCTGCTTGTCTCCTGGCTTTGCATGCTGCTGGCAGAGCAATCCAAGATGGCAGCAGTCTACCCTTCATGTTGCTGCCTCTGAGCCCCTGGGAAAGTGGCCCCTGGGCAAGGCTCCTCATTCCCCAGCTGGGCTTAATAGTTGTTTCTCTCGTCTGAAGGGCCTGAAGGCAGCTCCATTTGACTCTGGCCTCTCAGTGATCACAAGCTACACAGAAGCCATTGCCCAGGTGGATGTGGCCACTGGGTTTTCTTGGATCGAGACTTACCCATTATTGGGTCCATTTGTTCTCACAGATCTCTCTTGAGCAGCATCCTCCTGTATACCTGGACACCTCGAGTCATAGTGGTGAGGCAGCCAAGTATCTTTGGCCCTGGAGCGAAAGTGGCATGTGATTCTGCTAGGTAGGGATGCCCTCCCCGCTCACTTTGTTCCTGGGCTAGAGAAATGAAAGTGTTTGATCTCAGAGAAGTCTCCAGCACATCCAGATTACACACAGCCAAGTCTGCCTTCTGAAGTTGGTTTCCCCATCCCATATCTACTAGCTGAAACTAACACTGTTTTATTTCTTCTTCCCATTTCAAGGAATTGTGGGAACGTATTCTGCTCCAGTTGTTGTAACCAGAAGGTTCCGGTGCCCAGCCAGCAGCTCTTTGAACCCAGTCGAGTGTGCAAGTCTTGCTATAGCAGCCTACATCCCACAAGCTCCAGCATTGACCTTGAACTGGATAAGCCCATTGCTGCCACTTCAAACTGAAGCTCAGTGACCTGGGGTGGGCAGAGGCCAAGATGCTATTCCTCTGACAGGTCCACACAGCCTGGGCAGACCGAGAGCCCGTGCACTTGGAGTGGGGGCATGGAACTACCTGTACGGAGTGACAGAAATTTGGGATGTACCACTGGATTGTAGACTGACTTTTCTTTTCCTGTCCCTCACCCCCACCACGCCCTACCCTTTCCATCCTTCCTCTCTGCCTTCAGAAAACAAAAAAGTCCCTTGGTTGTCTTAATTTTTTTTTTTTTTTGGGATGGAAGACCAGAGGATGCCAGGCCCTCTGTAACAGCTGAGCCGCCTGCTGTCAGGTGACGCTGAGGGATGGCTTGGTTGGTTCTTCTGGGTGGGAGGAGGCTGGTCAGAGCCAGGAGTGGAGATCTGAGACAGTGAGCTGGGAAGAAAGCCAGTGCTAACATTTGTGACCATTCTCACGCCACCGCCACATCAGAGCTGTTCGGGAAACCTTCGCTGTTGGGGAGGCTGGAAGCAACTTCCCTAAGAGCACTGCCTGGTGCCCTCTCCCTCCTGAGAGGGGCTGGGCCAGCCCCACCTCACAGATAACTGGGATTGACATTTGGAGGGAGGGGGGTACATGGTAAATGGCACTCCTTAGACCCCCCTTTGGGAAAGGAAGGTATATGCTCCTTCAAGCCAGGTGAGGGGCTGGGAATGGGTCACCAGCATGTTGTCCCCTTTGGGATTCTGTTTTTAACTTGACCCAGATTGTCTAGGGCTCTGTCAGGGGGCTGCCGCCCTGGGCCAGGCTCTGTAGTGCTTCCCATCCTCAGGCATAAGAATGCAGACTGGCCAGAATGCAGTGGCCAAGGCCAAAGCCTGCCCTGAGCCCAGGCACTCCTGGGTCCCTCTTGCAGAGCCTTGTCCCCCAAACAATGTCTCTTCCTCGGCCAGCACAGGGAAATCCAGACTCAGGGTTCCAAAAATCCCCCTTTCCCAAGCCAAACAAATCATGGATCTCCCCCTTGAGGGTAGAATCAGCCTTTAGAGTTAGAAGCCTCTGGAAAAGGGAGCGAGTCCCCATACAATCAGCCTTCCTCCTCCCCTTCTTGCAGCAGCAGGAGGGGCCCAGCAGTCCTCTTCCCTGCTCCTGGCTGCCTGAGTAGGCATGTGTCTGGCTGCTGGCCAGCAGTGAAGGGCCACTTGGTGACTCCGCAGGGTTCCTTAGAGAAGTGACATGGCCTGGAGGAGATTTGGGGCACCTTTCCTCAGTGAGCTTTGATATGGTCCAGAAAGAGCTTTAAATCAAGAATATTTGTGGTGGAGGTGAGTGTGGGAAGGGTGGAGAGGAGTTTAGATTTGTGCTTTGTAATCTTGGCATCCATGTTTTGTGCCTGCCCTCCCTCTTGGGGAAGGGCCATGCTTGGCTCTGCTGAAAGCTGCTAACTGGTGACAGGGCACAGAGAAGCCTAAGTTCTGACCCTGCCCTGTACTCTCCTTCCCCTTTGGAAGCAGTTCTGTGGCCAAGGGCAAGTTGTGTCTCAGGAAGGTGGCTCCTGTGTGTGCCTGAGTGTGATTAAGGTGTGGCCCAGAAGCCTTTCCTGGTGCTGTCAGTCCAGGCAAAGCCCAGAGCATCTGCGCACATCTCTGACTTCCAGCAGCAGCAGGTTGCTCAGAGTTTGAGTTTAGGGAAACAAGGTGTAGTTCTCCGCACTCGGTGTGGTCTGGTCGTGCAGGTAGGGATACGTCGTTCTAATGGAAGATTGTGCAGTTCCTAGTGACAGGTGCCAAGAGGTTATGATACGGGTTTCTTGGGTCTGATGTACAGTGTGAATAAATGCTTGCAACTTTTAGCCCTTTTTTGATCAATGAAGCACTTTTTTAATATTTTCCTTTGTATGTAAAGGAGGAACCGTAACTCTCCGTAGCTGTACATATAACCCTTTTCTCCTAAAGAGGAGTCAGTCATTGCTCCTATATTTTTCATTTTTTGTCAAAACAAGAAGTAAATACTTTAGAATTGTTAAATATATAAATAAAGTGAATAAAGTTGAGTGTTCCGCATGGTAGCATTTGCTAACACGTTCTAATTCTTTGCCCTGTGGTTTATCCCCTCTTCATCCCTTTTCCCTCTCACACAGAAGTGGTTAGAGGTGCTGCTGAGAAACTGACCTTTGGCAAAGGAAAACTACGGATTTCTTTTCGGCTCTAGACCTTGGCAAGGAGCCCCACCATGATGCCCAAGCTCTGAAACATGTTTCCTTGACGACTTTGCCCCTAAGATCTCCTAAGCTGAAAGAAGGTAAAGCAGTCAGACATCTCAACAGTCAGCTGTTCTTATCTGAAGAATTGCACATCAGTAATAATTAAAACTACCTCTGGCCTCTAGGCCGTTTTTGGCTGCTGCTCTGATTTCCGGGCAGCCAGTGCTCTGGCCCCTTAATTCCACCCCACCCCGGAAGCATCAAGCTGCACGTGCAGTGTCAGGAACAGAGCCCTCGTGCAGTGATGAGTGAAAGGAGATGAGGGGTGGGGACTGGAAACCGCTTCTGCCCGTTGTTCTTGGGTGACAGAATGTGGGCGGGCAGAGAAAGAACTTGGGGCAGACACGGAATTGGATGTGATTGGGTTATGTGCCCAAGGAGAGGTCTCCCACCCTCCATCCCCCCACACAGGGAGAAACCTCTGCTCCTTAGATCTTTGATTTCTGCTTCCAACCAAGCAAGGCTGTGGCATCTAGTCACTTCTAGACTAGTTCTTGCTCTTCACAGAGGTGGATTTTCTTTCCCCTACATCACTGCTGGGCATCCTACCCATCCCATGGGACTGTGCGTAAGATACATTATGTAGTACCTTCCTCAGGGAAGTTAGTGTTTGTGGTGCCCAGCTCTGGGGTTGCCAGCCCACCTTCTGTGGTGAGTAGGCTGGGCCCAAACAGTGACCTGCTCAGAGCCCCCCTGAGGACTGTAACAACTCTTTGGGGTAGAGCAGTCGCTCTAGCGTTACTTTCTGGATGTACCCTCTGTCTAAAGTATATAAGCACTTAGAAACAGCTCAGCTGTGAGTGCGGTCCAGCAGGTGTTTGAGAATAAGTCTGTTCTCTAGGGGGCGAGGGTGTCACCTCAGTTGCCTTCAGTTCACCAAGGAACCCAGTCTGTATTCAGACCAAGTTGTGAACAACCTATATGCCATACCGGCGTGTGTCTACACATAGCCACTACTGTTCCTGAGGTCTAATGGTTTAGCCCCGAGTGAATCAAGACACTGGCATAGCTCAGAGAGGCTGTTGGGGGTGGGGGGGGTCCATAAATGGAGAGCTGCTGGGTATAGGAAGATGAAGAGCCCAGAAGCTGGTGAGACACGCACACTGTGGATCAAAGGCAAGGAATTGCCCAGGTGAAGGTGGCTGCACATGGACAAGGGCAGTTCTCTGTGTGCAAGGCCACCTTTCTTCAGGCTATCACATGGAGGAAATTGGTCTGAAGCAGTGGGGTACTAACAGTGACCTTGAGCTGCCAGGATGTCTTCATCTCAGAACTTTCCTATCCTGGCACGCTCATTACCTTCCTTCGTTCTATACTTTGGCCTCCTTAACCTCAGTCCAAAAAGATGATACTGCTGCCTTAATCTACTGAGATTTTCTAGTGAGGATATATAGTAAATTTTTTCTCTCTTAATTTTGCTAATATGCTCAGTTACTTCCCATGTTAGCGAAGAATATTTTGAGAATAATGGTACTATGGCAGATCTAAAGGAGAATGAACAGAATGGTGCCAGAGGATCTGTTAACCAATCTCTGGCTATTAACAAACATCAAAATGGGAATTGAAGATAGGTTCTAGAATAAGATTATAAGCTATTGTCCTTGAGATAGCTGATACACTTGGCTGCTTGCACTTGAGGCTAGGAGATCCCATGCCTATTGAAGTTAACTCTAGCCCTGACCTCTGTTGATCTTTGAAGAATGAGGGCTGATTGGAAGGTGCTGTTGCAGGATTTCATTTAGCTGGTGCCAATTCAAGTGACCTGTCCCCAGGGCTGCAGCTGTGCCCACCCAATTGCACTAGCTGACGATAGGGCTAACAGCAGAGTTAAAAACGGGCCCTGGGCTGTGGGGGGGAAATTACTGATTGATTCTCCATTTGGAATTTTGGATAATGTGGCAGGAGTCCCAGCTGCTTACTTTTTAGTCACATTTCCAAGGAGGTTGTTCTAAGTTGAGGTAACTGAGATTGACAAGATTTCTGGAGGGCAGGACCAGATGTATGAGTAGGAGGTGACCCGTACACACTCGCACTGAGGCCTTGTTCCTCTCGGCTGCTGTGAAGTTCATCTGCACGTTCTGTGAAGATACCAGTTGCTTCCCTGCTAGAACAAGGCCTCCTCCTACGCTAGGTGGTGTTAGAGGCATGGGAGGTATGGGCAGGGGAGGGGCATCTTCTGAAATGGAAGTTACAAAGTTTTTAAACGCTGCTATTGTATTTTATTTACCATTTAAGATCTTTTCTATTATATCTGAGTTCTTAGTCAACTTTTCTTACAGTGCTCATAGCAGTTGCATTTGAATTGTATTTTCAGTGAAATTTGTTTTACATTGGCATTTAAAATTGGCCTTTAACTGCTTCCCAACTCGTTTATAAGATTTTTTTAAAAAATGAAAGCATAACCCATGAGGTTTGGATGCTGTTTAAGAAATAAACTGTGTGTTGCTGCTGACAGTAGTGCTGGCCTATTGTAACAGCATTGATTCTGCTGTAGCCTCAGTGACGATTTAAGTTGAATAAATCTCATTTTCACCCACAAACAGTTGTTCAGCCCCTGGATTTGGCTTGCCACTCTGATTCTCCAGCCAGTGCTGTGATGCAGTATCTTAGGTTCGAGGGATGGAATCAGCTTATCCCTAACTTAGTTCAGGAGGGAGGAGCTCAGTGAGGAGGGGGTGGTGTAAAGGTAAGTATTTGTCTTCCAGAGGCAGGATATATGAAATCCCGATGTTTAGAGGTGGGGAGGGACCTTAGGTCTCCTGCTTCCATGATTTTCATACTATTCTGTGGGGAGGGAGCCCCAGGCCCACCCAAATATTTATTAGACTTCCAAGTAATATCTGATATGAACAAAGGTTCTGGTGCTTAAAATAAGAGTCTGAAAACCACTAATTTAATCCAACCTCCTTTTTCATTAAGGAAACTGAGGCCCAGAGAGAGGCAGAGACATCCAGAATATCCAATGAGTTTACAGCAGAATTTGAACAAAGAAAACTTTCCTGACTTCCTCCCCCTCTTGTGCTTCCAGAAGACAGCTTTATGTAAATAGTTGTATTAACTTGGTTCTCTTTGAGTTAGCCAAGCCAGAAATCTTGGAGAGCAGTTTAATATAGTTGCTACCAAAGGGCTTAAATTAAGAGGCGTCCTCTCCTAACAAAATTGAAAAGTTAATATTATAGTATAATCCAGTGTTTCTGTTTTTCTTTAACATTTCAAATACATAAAAACAAGTGAGATTTTCTTAGTGTGAATCATCAACATTCAACTCATAACATATTGGGTGGGGGAGAGCATTTATTTTTTGGGACAGTCTCACTCTGTTGCCCGGGCTAGAGTGCTGTGGTGTAAGCCTAGCTCACAGCAATCTGAAACTCCTGGGCTCAAGTGATCCTTCTGCCTCAGCCTCCTGAGTAGCTGGGACTACAGGCATGCGCCACCATGCCCGGCTAATTTTTTCTATATATTTTTAGTTGTCCAGCTAATTTTCTATTTTTAGTAGAGATGGGGTCTTGCTCTTGCTCAGGCTGGTCTCAAACTCCTGAGCTTAAACGATCCGCCCGCCTTGGCTTCCCAGAGTGCTAGGATTACAGGTGTGAGCCACTGCATTTTTAATGAATGCAAATGGCTACTTGTGAACTGTCTCAGCATCCAGTTTGTTTCTGAATTTTGTTTTGGTTGTACAATATGGGGAAAAATCCTGAGTTTTACAGAGAAGTGTTAGCAAATGGTAATAGTCACAGCTTGCCTGCTCGCTCTGGTTATTGATGACACTGAGGTAGGTGTGTGAAAAGGGGGATTAATGGAATATCCAACACCTGCTTTCAGTCCTTACCCTCCACGGACCAGGTAAGAAACACCCAAAGGTTGTAAGCATTGGAATGACTCCAAGGTGAGGGCCGCTGGCACTGAGTTGGGCCTGGGCTTCATGATCACAGGACTGGGCCAGTGCCCTCCCGTCAGTGACCCTGCGAAGTCCACAGCCACACAGCAGTGGAGACCTTACTGTGAGGTCTTAGGCAGCCTCAGCCAGTGTGTGTTTTAAACCCTTGAGTGTACATGGTTTAAAGATGGTTATTAATATTTAACATGACATGTGGAACAAATGTGTTCAGAGAACACCTGATGCACCGACACAAAAGTCAGTCTGAAAACCACCAGCGTGGTAGAAAGAACCTGGGTTTCAGAGGCCACAGGCCCGGGGTGGAAGCACGGCCCTGTAGTGCTGGCCGAGTTGCCCGTGGGTGTTTAAGGAACTCTCTGAGCCACTTCCTCATCTATAGCAGAGCACTTGGCTCCTAAGTGGGATTTGAATGTGGGTTCTTGGTAAATGCTCCGTTCCCCACCATCCCATTAGATGAGATGGCATTTCTGTCTCTGGCTTCCAGCAGACATTGGAAAAATCAGAGCCAGGCAGCACTTCCTTCCACCGTGTATTAAAACTAGGCCATACCCTGGCTTCTTCTACCTTACAGGGGTAAAATTTTGACTCTGAAGCATTCTGATCTGAATTTTGCCCTAAATCGCAAATTTTTCACTAGCCAAAGATGAAAGTTCATGTATGTATTAAAGAATTTCTTAACATGCAGGTCTGCATGTGCATTGAAGCTTTCAAATTGTGTAAAGGCAATGGGAGTGGAGTGCTGAGAGAAACTGCTTGCTGGGGCTGAAGCAGCATCTAAGAATTCCTAAGTCCTGCCATGGCAGCAGTCCCATGGAGACTGATGTGTCCTCGCTTTGCTGAACAACTGGAGTTTTAAGTTCCTGACTAAAGACAGAGCCATGAGATGTAGAGTAGCTTTCTGGGC